ATTCGTAATTTGTATTTGGTTTGACAACTGCACTAACAATTGACACAATTACTTTGCATTTATATACACATTCATGATAAATTATCAGTGAATTGAGTGACAGGTGAGTGCGCGCGCTTTTGCATTTTCCCATTCCAATTCGTCGGTTTGATTTGCATTCGCAGCGCTCTCGACTGTTATTAAGTAGTTGGTAACCCTTTGTGTTTTTTAGCTTCAAGTAAACCGTCCATGACAGTGGATAAATTGTTGTTATATTTTCAAGTATACACACATATGTGCTCATACATACAGTATATTATATTTACATACTTATAGGTAGTAGTTAGTGCTTAATTAAGCACGTTTACTAAGGAACAATGAAGTTGAAATAATAACGGTTATATAGTTTTTTGCGGAATGTGTATTATAATACTACTTTTTGCCTTCAATACTATTTATTAAAAACCTTTCTAGCTAATTGTGGTCGGTTTCGAACTTGTCTAACAACTTTTGGGGGATATAAACCGATTTACCGTTTTTATGATGGTGAGTTCTAAAACTCTAGAATTAAAGATAATTTTAAAAAACGTTTACGAATAGTTTCAAGTCCACAAAATTCTTTGAAATGTAGCGTTAGCTCTTTCAATAATCAGCATATTTTTAATTCAAATTATGTACATATGTTTGGCGCTAATCGTTTAACAGTTTAATATCGAAGGTTTTAGATTTTACAGGATTAAAAAAATGCCAGGTCCGCTATTACGGAATATTTTATTTCAAATGAAAGAGGACAAATAATATATATGTACATATGAATATATATTATAAATAACATATATTTTATGAAGTTTGCTTGGTTATGACTTTTGTTATACTTTATAGTAATTTTTGAAGCAATTACGAATCGAACGACGAATCGTCGCCGAGATAGTCATGGTGGCTCTAGTCTGCTCTCATACCCATGATGGGTATTTGAAAGGGACAGCGAGTTCTTTTATTGATCCTTCGTAGCTGAAAGACGAGTTTGTTGTTGAAGTCTAATGTCTGAACTCTCTATTAACTCCAGATTCAGTTTTTCACTGTAGCATTTTAAATCAGAGGTTCTCTCTTCCCCTCGTATTCCCGTAGTAAACCCAAAAATATTGCCTAATGGATATACGAATATTTATTCCTTCCAATTAGGCCAAACATATCCTAACATGTTGCTAAGCGCTTAAAAATTTGCGCGAATCATGATAATCTGTAGTTAGTATTTTTCAGTTATATAGTTTTCGTATGTGAGTACAAGAAATTTAAGAAGAGCGATTGGAAACATTTTCCAAGTTTATTTATTGTAATATTACAATAGAGGCTGCAGACCCATAAACTCCATAAGGTCATAATTATAGTTCTCTTAGAAATATTTTAATAGACTAAAACGTTTTGCGACGAACTGAATCCATTTGTTTGGAACTTAACACTAACTTTTACATGAACTGCTCTTGATTAATTGGTTTGTGAGATATACCACTATAAAGGACACAAGAACTGGTATTTCGACAAAAAAAAATATTGCAAAATTTCAAGGATATTCAAAACTGGCAGTGCAAATGTACCTCGCAAGTTAGGTAGCACAAATACAAATCAAAAAAGCGATTAAAAAATGTCTTTGAATTGTTGCCTCGTCCATCGTATAGTCTGTTCCCAGCGACTTTTTCCTCACCCCAGCCCCTACAAATTGCTGCCGGAATAAAAAATTTGGCGACGATGGCAATCGCCGAGGCTCATTTTGAAGCAAAAGACCATTCTTACTGCCAAAAGCGCGTCAAGATCGCCATAGAATGGTCTACCGCCCTCAAAAGCAACTATTATGAATATTGAATCGAATTTTAATTAAAAAATGTGTTCTATTTAAAGCGATATAAACTTTTCAGTCCATTCTGTTAGATTGTAGAGGTTTTATCTGATATACATATATAGGGAAAATATTTGAATTGTAATAACAATCGTAGATCTTAAATTCATATATAATCGCACGTACAAGTATTTATGTACTTATCATTTTTTGTGTCTACTAATTTCAGGTAAGAACGCACACATTGAAATTGATGCCATTCTTCAATGCAATTTTTGTTTACTTTGCCTTCGTACAAGATCCACACGGTGAACTTTGGACAACAGTTCTAAAATGTCTGCCGATTGTAATGTTAATTTTGTATGTTGTGGTCAAAGGCTTCGCGTTTACGACCGCGTAAGTTAATTCGATATATTTCTGATTCAAAATCATCAAAACATTTTTTTCTACTCCGTTGTAGTTACAAATACTCTCAGCGCATACTGTTAGGCTTAATTTGCTCATGCGTCGGTGATGCTTTGCTCAATATTAATCTCTTCCTAGAAGGCATGGGTGCATTTGCTATCGGTCATATCTGGTACATATCAGCATTTGGTTGGAAACCATTGAGACTGCCAATCGGTGTGGCATTGTACATTTGTGGTGCTTTGGGTGAGTAAAGTAGATAATACAGCATAAAAATTCGAAGTGGATGCTCTCTAGCAACAATTAATAACATCGAAAGGGAAATTCGGCTGGGTATCTAGCACGGTAATTACCTCTTCCATTTCCTATCTAGCGTGCGTCAAACTAATTATATGTGAATTCTCACTACTATTAACAATAGACGTAGGTGGCTAAATAATGGACACCGCGTTCGTCAAGATTGATGATCTCTGAATAGTACTACAACTATTTGACTTAAAAAATCTTTCGAAAAATTTGTGAATTTGAAGATATTTACATAACACTCTTATTACTTCTAAATATTTCAGCTATTTCGTTGGCTTTCACCCGTCTGGATGGCGTGCTCGCTATTGGCGTTCCTATTTATGCTGTCCTTTTAGCGACCACTTGTTGGCGCGCCCTTGCTCGCGCTCTCCAAAACTCCAGCTTCATAAATAACTTCTGTGCTGTGGGTACAGTACTGTTTCTCCTATCCGATTCAGTTATTGGCATTAATATGTTCTTGACACCGGTGCCGTATTCAAGAGTAAGTAAAAACTATTAGATGTTTATTACAATTAAATTCCCGAATAAGAGAATAATTCGTTTCTTCCGATAAAACTGTAGAGAGGAGACTTTTCGTCAATAACTCTATGATTTATAATTCTTTAGAGAATAGAGATTAATGAAACTATCGATGGGATACTTATTAATTCTCTAGAGAATATATATTTTTCGAACCGTTCGAGTATTCTAAATTTTTTTACTTTTCATTAGCATTTCGGAAATACATTATCGATCGAATCGAAACTAAAAAATATTTTTTATATATTTTAGTTTTCGACCTCATGTGAAATATATGTGACAAACGATAAAAGTCGAAGGTTTTTGTGTTTTTTGCTTAAATTATTTTTCATTCATTCCGTTTTCAAAAACTTTGGTCGAATTGAATGATCTAAAAATTATTACTTAAAGTTTTTTTTATGATTTTCTCTTTTCCCAGATCATCATTATGTCCACGTATTATACTGCTCAATTCGCCATTGCATTCAGCACTGCCAACGACAGCCCAGGGTCTTGTAGGCATATGGGGAATAGCGAACCAGCGCATAAAGGTCATCGCGTCAAAACAAAAGACTGATCAGTTACCGAGCAATTTACGCTCCATTAAATGTGTCGCTCAAGTTGCGAAGCAATAACATTTTCATAAGCAAAACTACGTTGCCTACGCCGAACAGTCACCACCAACATAAAATACGAAAAGAACTAAAATGCCCTAAAAACTTCCATTGTACCTTTACTGTCTGGAGATTTTCGTGCGGAAAACGAGTTACTTTACCATATACTACAAACACATACATACATGCATTTCGAAAGTATGTGATACATATAAACATGCATTGATCTATATACTATCGAAAAGTATGGTAAATGTTATAAACATACATATTATATATTATACATATTTACTTATTTAATCTTGCTAGTCTAGGTATTATAAATGTGTCAATTTATTTATGAATAGTAGTTGGTTAAATTAACTGTAGTTTTTAGATTTTGGTGTTTTTTTTCCAAGAAATAAAGGAACATCTTATTGTAAAAATTAAATATTAAAAAGTGTATATTAGGTATATGGGGTCTAAAAGATTTTTGACCCGGTTTTATCAATTCTCGGCAACACCACATACTATTAACATGCCACAGATTTTCCCCTGATTTTATCTATTTTAGACACAAAGATACTCGTACATTGTTATTAGTAAAACACGCGATCTTGTTTTCACTCCGATCGGAATGATGCAGACCTCCAAAAACGGATTTTTCAGAAGGATTTAAGATGTTTAACACTAGAACTATCTACTACTATCTCTCTCTCTGAAAATCAGAAGCGTAGGAACAAAAGAATCTTTAATATTATTTTATACCCAAATTTAATAAAAATCATGAAATTATCGTAAAATATTAATTAGGAATAAAGAGGAAATGGTATAAATAAATTATGCAACCGGTCATTCTGACCTTTTTTTTTGTACCCTAAGCATTAGTAGATAGTATTCAATATTTCTATTTCTAGTTATAATTCTAGTGTTTTACTTATAGTTCTACGTTCTCCTAATATCTTAAGCACTTCATTATTTCATCGATTATATGGCATTTGGCTCCGACTCATTTTACATCGGAATATTGTTTATACTACAATATTTTATACCTAATCTCCAGAAATAATTTTGCTTGGGATGATTGGGTTCTGTTGTGAGGTTCATTTTGTCAATAACTTTTTTATTATTATTAATACTCACACTTGCGTGTATAAATATTATCAATTATCAATAGCTCAGCGGTTGTGTGCCAAACGGTAACATTTATCCCTGTGTTGAATTGGGGTGAAATTAATTCGTATGCTGTAAACAAATTTTACATTCTGCTGTGCCAAAAGAAACAACGAAATACGTCGCTTGTATGGTTGCCTTGTTTTTTAAATTATTAAATATATTCGTGAAATGAATGATATGAAAATCAAATACTTTGCTTGCTAGTAACAATATTAATTACATTCATTCATTAATTTGAACATTTGTTATGAAGTGAGAATTTTATTATTCACAATTTTCATTTTTCTACTTCTGGCCTATTATATATACCTCAGCAATGTGGCAGCATTAAAATATTGTATTGCACAGCAACCCCGATGGAATATTTTCAAAAACAACTGTTTTGTGCTTATAGTGAATTACCGCCAGAAGAAGAACAAGAGCGCCAAAATTTGTACGCCGGTTTATAGAGTGTGAAATTTTAGAAAAAACTAAACTATATATAGCAACCAAAATAAAGAGCATGCGTCCAACAGAAGTAAAATTAAATAATCCGCCCGAGGATGCTATATCGGCGGTAAAATTTGGTCCTAAAACTAATCAATATCTCATCGCATCTGCCTGGGATGGCACGGTTCGGTTCTACGACGTCGTCAATAATGCCATGCGCCAGAAGTTTGTCGAGGATATGCCCGTATTGGATGTTGCATTCATGGTAAACATAAATGTGTTAATTTAATATACCCACAAATATTTATGTTACACTTAATTGTAGAACATAGTGCATGTCGTAAGTGGTTCGCTGGATAAACAATTGCGTTTGTATGATGTCAATACGCATACGGAAAACATTGTTGGTTCGCATGATGATGCTGTAAGCTGTGTTGAATATGCTGAATCTGTAAATGGTATATTGACGGGCAGTTGGGATAAAACTATTAAATTATGGGATATGCGGGAGAAACGTTGCGTTGGTACCTTTGAGCAAAGCAACGGCAAAGTGTATTCAATGTCTGTGAATGATGAGAAAATTGTTGTAGCTACATCAGATCGCAAAGTTTTCATTTGGGATCTTCGAAAAATGGAAGAATATATGATGAAACGTGAATCATCGCTCAAATATCAAACACGTTGCATTCGACTGTTTCCAAATAAAGAGGGCTATGTAATGTCTTCGATTGAAGGGCGCGTGGCTGTAGAATATTTGGATCCTGATCCAGAAGTACAAAAACGAAAGTTTGCTTTCAAATGTCATCGGAACAAAGAGGATAGTATTGAACATATTTATCCAGTAAATGCAATTAGTTTCCATAACGTTTATAATACATTTGCGACGGGCGGATCAGACAGTTTAGTGAACATATGGGATGGTTTTAACAAAAAACGTCTCTGTCAATTCCATCAATATGACACTTCTATCTCATCGCTAAACTTCAGTCATGACGGCAGCACACTAGCTATTGCATGTTCATATATGGATGAATTTGAGGAACCACCTGCCAATGTGCCAAATCCTGTTATTTATGTGCGTTATGTAACTGATCAAGAAACTAAACAGAAATAAAGTATAATTGATACATGTCTTGTTATAATATAATTTCATGAAATTTCTATGGGCATTTACACCTCTATATACTTAAGAATGCACTAATACTTGTGTATTCGCTTGAATATGTTGTACTATACACACGTATAATTTTTGTTTAAAAATATACAAATACGCCGACTAACATAAAGAGAATGTCTGATATTATTTTATTTCTATTAAATCCATTCGTAAAACTCTACTTTAAGTGTTTGCATTTTTATCTTTAAGTAGCGAAGGCCTACTTTCACGTCACAATAGGATGCGTTTCCAAATATATTAGGTTTTATCCTCAAAATTCTTCGGTTTTACGTTGCTCAGAAAGAAATAAAAGTATATATTTATAGTAACAGCAAATTGTTGAAATTCTATTTTTATTAATGGCACACGCACATGTATTTGAAAAATCACAAACACAATTGAAGTATCAATGTATATAATTACCAATTAATAGTTAATACAGTATATAATACAATGTTATCCCAAACAATACATCTGTTTCTTAGAGATCTTAAGCTCACTTTTCATTCTTTCACTTATTATAAAATATTTACAGATTTTCCAATTTTGATATTTTAGTCGCAATATTTGGAGAGTCCGCTTTAATTTTTGTCTTAGTTGTACTGTTATAAGTAGATGCAGGACATATTTCACGGTTTAAGCATTTCGAACAACACGGCCGCAGAGCTTTACATACGGTTTGACCAAAACCAACTAGCAAATGATTTACATCTTGCCACATATCTCGGGGAAGCCACGATTCAAGATCCAATCGGGTCTGATCAGGTTCTTTTGTAGGTTTAGGTAACCACTTAAGGCGATTTGCTATACGATGTACATGCACGTCAACTCCAATACCGGTTACTTGATTCCATGCCGTTGCCATGCATAGATGCGCCATCTTTGGTCCTACACCGGGCAAAGCTTGGAGCTCTTTAATAGTACCAGGAATGTCACTGTCGTATTTATCCACCAGGATTATCGACGCTAGTTGCAAATATTTAGCTTTGTTCTTGAATGAAAAATAAATTAATATGCGAAAAATTTCATAAAATTACATTTTATTTTACTTTATAGAATGAAACTGGTTTTAAAAGGTCTTCAAGTTTTCCTGTTTCTATGTCTATAATAGCTTGTGGTGTTAAACCACTACTTTTTAGTCGCTGCATTACTTCATAAGTAATTTCATCCCTCGTTTGACTTGATAGCATAAGGGCAACAAGCTTTTGGAAGCGTTGTGTCTGTTATAATAACATATTTCGTTTTAAAGTTAAATGGTACAGTAAACTGTCAGTATATTTACCTTCTCATCTGCCTCATCATCGGAACATTTGTGACATCCCATTGTGTCTACTGGGGCTTCAGCGCTAGAACGCATTGTTCTAATATTCTCCAAAATAAGACGCCAATTTTGTGGTTCCCATTTTTCATGACTGTCTGTTTTAACATTAGCTTCGGCCAAATCCAATTGCTTTTTCTCTTTACTCACACCAACATGCTTCTTAATTTTACCGCTTTGAAGTTGAATATTATTAGTTAAAGCATTCACTTTAATAGGTTTTCTGATCGCTGCGCTGGAAGTTGAATCTTCCGTTTTGACTGGCATTTCAAAACTTTTAAGTTGCGTCTTGGTGGCCTTACGTTGGTTTCGGGTTTGAACGGGTGAGAAAAAAGGTGATTTAACAGCATCTTCAATGTCCTATCCCCAACAAATAGTCCGTTATTCGCAAAGTATAAAACTGAAATCACAAAACATATACTCACCTGAACTTTAACAGCTTGTACAACTCGGACCTTTTCAGATAATTTCTTTGCTAAGGCTTTTGTTAATACCTCTTTTCCACTCATTGTAGCAAAATTTCATTTATTGTTATAGCGAAAACAGTAATTTATTTTACCGCTCAATTGGGGGCACTTATCAGTCACAATGATCATATAAGACACAACTATCTCGGCCGTTGTAGTGCACTTTTTTCTTCTTTTTAGGTCATCAGGTACATTCACAAAGATTCCAACCAATTTATTATGCGAATGCATTCCTCGCAAGAATACTACACTATTAATTGTGGTTATAATAGAGTGGCAGAAAACATTCTCTATACAGCTGCCGGGTTGACTCTAATTAATAGGGTGCAAGTTCAGGTTCGTTTCGGCTATCTAGACCAGACTGTTATCTGTTTCCGCCATAAAATACTACTTCTTCGCTCTCAAAGGTTTTTTGTCGCTCTTAAGATGATTAATGGGAAGGAAAAATTAGGTATTCACGTTATCCTAAATATCAGCCCAACTCAAAATTTAAATGGAATTTGTATTAAAGACGAAAAGGTGAATAGCGCAGTAGATAAACGCCCATTCACATACAACTTTCCACAATGAACGCTTTGCTTTCAATATTTCTCTCTAATAAAAATTGCTACTGTTGCTTGTCAAGGCCGTAAAAAATGAGAGTTGACGAACATTTTGCTTGGTTTCGCCTCCAAAACTTTTTATGTGAACGTACTAATACAAAAGCATAGATCGAACTTTTCGGCAGAGAACGTATATCATGAAATACGTATTTCATGATATACGTTCTCTGTTTTCGGTCCAAGCAAATGTCTGACGCTAAACAAAAAAAAGTTCTATGTGAATTGGCCATAAAGAAAAAATTAGAAAAGTTATCGATAACAAGTAAGAAAACAGGAATCTATTCATTTAATCTGTATGAAAAATTTCTATTATATTTCTATCCACTTTATTATTATTATTATCATAATTTTACATAAAAACATACACATATAGAGCAAACAAATTAAAATATCAGTTTCTTTCTTCCAATTGCAACCAGAAATCATAGGGGGTTGTAATTAAACCGTTAAAATTTTTCGATAAATCTGGCAACGAATCCTCCGGACCTAAAACAAAATTGAAATTTTGACAAAGTGATACGGTCAAGAGAAATAGCATATTTCGCGCAAATGTTTCTCCCGCACAAAGACGTTTTCCTATAAAAAAAAAAGTTAAATTACATTTACGAAAAACAATATAGAAAAGTAACATCTGCCGGTTATTACCTGCGCCGAAAGGAAGTGACACATCCTTCTGCAGCGACAGTTTTCCGTTTTCATTAAGAAAGCGTTCCGGTCTAAATGTTTGTGGATCACCCCAGGTACGTTCATCAGCGTGGTATGCATACAAGCTGGGCACAACAATGGTATTCTAAATAAAGTACATGTAAATGCATTAAATATTTTTTTTTATAGAAAATGCACAAATTACCTTTGGTATCTTGTAGCCCATAAGCTCCGTGTCCACCAACGCTTTGTGTGGTACATCTGATGGCACCAAAGTCTCAATTCTCAAGCCCTCACGAACAGCAGCTTCTGTAAAGTGTAAATTCTTTCTATCTTCAAGTGTGGGCAAACGCCCTCTACCTACAACCTCATCTATTTCCGCTTGCATACGTCTCATCACTTCCGGTTGAAGAAGAAGATGTTGTATCAAAAATGTAGCTTGTACACCAAGCGCTGTGAACGCAGGAAAAGCAAAATCTACCAAACCCATTATGAATTGAGTGCGATAATAAACATCCGCTTGCTCCTCCGCATGCTCGAGCTTCATTTGTTTAATATATAAATCGAGAAAATTTCGCTCACTACACTCGTCATATGTGGCTATATGTTGATCGACAATTTTTTCGAAATACTCAAAAAGAAATTTATTCGACTCCGTCAAAACATCATAAGCGCTCCATTTGGGAAATGCATAGCGTATCCATGGCATTACAGATAGCATTTTTCCATAATCATCACCGTTACGCTGAAACTGCATACCCATTTTAATCAACTGCAATATCTCGGCCTGTTCTGAGCGTGGTCGTCGCTCATTCATCATGATGTGAAAGAAAGAGTTGTATGTAAACGGGCTAAAAAGATTTGGCACACAAACTCTATAGCCGCCGGGCTTAGATAATTCTCGTTCATGCGCATAACGGGGACCATTTCGAATAAGATCTAAAAGATCAGTTATCTCTTCTTGTATGACTAGTTCAAGTTCAGTGAAGCGTCGACCAAACCCAAAATCACGAAGATAGCGTAAAATGAAGCGCCGCTGTTCTTTCCATACTGGACCGTCTCGGAAGAATATGCCTACAAAATAGAGGAATAGAAATTTTTGTAAGTACATTTACTAATCCACTAACTACTGTTATGAAAAATATGCAGAAATATTTTTATGCTTCTTCTGCTACAATATTAGGTATATTTTGCAAATACATATATGTATGTGTGTATACGAATGCAATCACTGCTTTTAGTGATTGCATAATTCAAGTTAAATACCGGTTATAAATAGAGTTATAATTGGTTATTTATGTGATCGGATAAAGAAGTCCGTCCGTGTGATGCAATTACGTCGCCATAAATAAGCAACTTCGCATATAAAAGGTTCATGTACCCATACATGTTTATATACGCGAAAATATACAAAGATTTGAAGATTTGGTTTTTAGTGAATTGCGAACGTAATTATATGTATGTATACATATTTTAAAATACCATATATATTCTTATATGTGCATACATATATATAAATATATTTTATTTAAACATTTTATTGCTAATGTTCTCCTTAATTGCTCCCTATCTCTTTGTATGTCACCATCAATCATTCCATTGACATTATTTTCAGCAGAGATGCACTTTAGACTCATGTATGGTTTAAACTTCTACTATAGCTTACAGAACGACAGTAAGGCTACCTATAAGGCAAGTAATAAAATGTATTGCAATTTTAAGGTCAAATTCGTTGCTTTAAAAATATGTACTATTTTTGGTATTTATATGGGTAAATACTAATTTTGCGTTATATCCATCTCGATGCTGAGAAAAAAGTCGACTATGTTATACAAAAGAACATTTTCTCGCTTTTGTAGATTGTCACAAAAGGATCGGCAAAGCTGTTGTCGCTTTAACAACATGTGTTTGAAAGATTGCCGTGGACATGGCTATGATACTGGTAGTAATATGCGCGGTAAATATGAAGGAGCGTAAAATCACATCCAACGTAAACATAAGTATGCAGTTAATTTACTTTTTTTGCTGTTCAAATATATTTCAATATTTTCACAACGTTGGGAAATTCTAAAATTCAAAATACCCAATTCACTTCACTGTCTTTCTAATACAAGATGGTCTGCCAGTACCGTGACCGTCAAGCCATTTGCGCAAAATCTTTCTGGATGGAGAAACGCTTTGAAAGAAGTTAAAAAACTCAACCTTACGGCAGAAACTCGACGAGACGTTAATGAAATTTTTAAATATATGAACAAATTTGAGTGCGTATTGATGACCTCCATATGGTTTAAAATCACTTAGCTAATCAATAAAAGAAACTTGGTTTTTCAAGAGATCAATGCCAAATGCAATTTATAATGAATGCAAACTTGTTGTAGAGAATTTAGAACATGTCGAGGCGATGTTATCATGAGGAAGAAAAAAAAACATGGAATCTATCTAATTAAAGAAATGGATAAAATTTCAGTAAAAGAGAAATTGAATTCAAAAGAAACATTTCCTACGCCAAGCTTGAGAGCATTACCTGTGGAATCAAGAGAATATTCGCCACAGTGAGTGACAAAATCAAATCGTTCTTATTTCTATGGTAGTTTCATGACATGAAAGAAGATGAACTCAAAGCAGCTGCAACAATTTTTTTTTAAAAAGTATTCTGTTTATATATCTGATAAGTTGTTCAACGAAGCTATCCACCTCAGACACGTTTACGATGAAGAATATGAAACACGTCTTACTCCATACAACTTATTGTATGCCATCAAGGCTCGAAAATTAGGAAGACCTTGCCCAAATATTTGCATCGCTTTAAAAATATTTTGCAATTCACCTGTTTCTGCTTCAAGTGGTGAACGTTCGTTTAGTGCTTTAACAAGATTCAGAAATTTTCATTCACCTTTTCACCCCTGAGCTCGGTTTTTCTCACGGCGGCTCTCACTACACGATGTTCGACAATTTAATTATTTTTTCACTTTGTTTATGAAAAACAATACAATTTTAAATAGTTTTTTTTTGAGGTACCTTTATTTATATCATTCCCAACTCACCCAACAATTCATCCTTGGGAGCACGCATTGCTGCTAAAAATATTTCTGGCCGTCCATCGAATTCTCTCCTATTCAAAACTTCCCTCACGCCCTCGAAATTGTGCACCGCAACTACGGGAAAGCTGCCAACATGAAAGCCCACAATATCAGACTTGTACCACTTGGTGAACTTCAAAACACCTTTATGCAAGTATTTTTTATTAGCCAGCATCATAAATAAATAACTGCCAAAGAGCGGTATGCGAGGCGGACCTTAAAGGATGGCATCATCACAAAAAACTTCACATTATTTTACTAAAAATTTAAAATTGCAAAAAAACTAACCCGGCGGAAATCCTTCTGGACGACCAACAGCATAGCGATAGGATAAGTAAAGAAAGAACACTGCACAAATGCATAGAAGTATTTCCGTTAACATTTCTTAAATTTTACCTCGCGATTTCTATAACAATAACACGTCGAATCAAATCAATGAGTGATGATGATCAACTGAATTGCGACACTTGTTGACACTTGGTTTTTGTGCGCCAACATTTCCAGTGCAGTCGGACTGCGCGCAAAACAATCTGATCATGACGCAATCCTGCGCATTTCTTCAGAGTTCACATTCATGTACTGATAGACCTCTATATAAATGGTATACACATACCTACATATATATGTTACCTCTGCATTTATTGCTTGTCTTAAGCAGGCACGTGTTGGTCTTTTGGCAATTAATCAGCCAAGGAAAGCAAGTAATATATCAACTTGTTTCTATTTTTGTGGTGCACGAACTCTGCAATAAATATTATCTATATAAAAAAAATTATGTTTTGAAATGCATTTATTGGAACACTGCTTAAATTTTTCGAAAAATATCAGGCTTGTTATGAAAAAAAATTAATTTTTGACCGATAAAATTAATTTTTTTCGATATTATACCGCTGCTTTGGATAATAATCCATGCCAAATTTCGTGAATATATTTGTGTTAAAATTAAATAATATTTTTTACTAAAAGGAGGGAAAGGATTTCATTTGAATAATGCAATTTTTTCTTATATAAATTTAAATATATATTTATAGTAAATTTCTGTTGTCAAATACAGGAATCCGCATACATTCATATATAGGACATACCTTAGGAGTTATTTGTTATGGAAAAAAGTTGTAATAATGCTAAATTATTAATTACTAATGGCTACATTGCATTAACTTAAATTTAACGGTAGATAGATAGATAGTTGGTATGAGGTTTGCACCACGGCCTAGGGCTAACGACCTAAAATTAACGATAATTCAACTTTCTAAGAGATATTAATCCCGAGTAATTTCTTATTTTTCACGCTATACAAAACCAAATTCGCTCAGTGCAAACCTTTTTGGCATCCCTACGGACCCTGTGTATTCGGACTATATCCCGTTCACACCGCATATAACGGCTTTGTTAAAAACTACTAAAAGTACGAAAAATCAATAACTAAATGCGTTAGAGACATTAAATTTTACATTCAGGATGACATATTCCTACATTACAGTGCGAAAATAAGCGAAATTTGACTAAAACCACGCCTATTTTCCATATAACACATTTTTAACTTCCATTTTATTCTTTCACTTTTAAGTATACAAATCTCGAACCGGAAAAGGTATCCGGATAAAACTTTGCACGAATAGTGCCTTTGAGTTGAGCCATCTTATGACCAATAATTGTCCATGTCGGACCAAAACTATTCAAGCCCCCAGATACCGAATATGTGGACCCCAGTTTCTATTGCGTTGCGTTGAAGAAATTAATAAAATATTTTTGGGGAGTCATCGAATCCTCATTAGAGAAGTTGTTACTGTGATGTAATTCTTCCCATGTTTTGCCATGAGAAGTGTGTCAAAGAAGATTTTGTATTGGTTGATTAACTAACGAATTGTTGAACGGCCTAATGGCGATTATAAAATTTAAACCAAAATCCCTATACTCCAAATGGGTGGGATAAGATGAGCTACAACCGATAAATCATTTTCGATCAAATGTCAGGGTTTGCCGTACTGCTATCTTTGCTTACCATATCAGGATTACTACTCTACAACTTTTTTCTATATCCAAAATAGGTCCGTTACAGGATGGATGTTAGCTACCATTGAAGGGAAGGGCTGAATCGCTAAAATGGTTTGATAATTGGTAGAAACGTCATAAGTGTATTAAATCACTTTGAAACAGGCAATATTGAAAACAAAAATAAGTTTTTTGTTCAAAATGATATATTTTGTATACCGATTAACTACAAGTGTCTATCTATTTGTTTCCCATTATACGACTTTTAATATATCACCATTCTAAACTCGAAGTTGGTGGCACTAGTACGCAATTTTCCTGCAGGGTATTACATTTGCTTATTATCTTCCACCTATTAAAATAATATTATAAGAGGCAATGTCAAACATTTCAATAAGTTAACGAACGCGAGAAATCGGCAACGACATAGCTCAATCACCCACTTTTTATGCATTTAATTGCACACCTACAAACATATAGTAAATGTATGTATATGCATAGGAACACGGGTAGATAGGTCTGACGATATATTTTTGAAATGTCATGTCCAAGACGATTTCACATACAAGTACATGCAATTATTTGTATATGTATAATTTCTTTGAATGCGCCATCATTGCTGCTAATGACCCTACGATAATCTGCCAGACTACTAACAAGCAGCTGAACAATAAAAAAGAACACATCTGAAAATCTGTATATAATAATGAATTCAAATATTATTAAATATATATGTTCTTTACTGCGAAAAATTATCGTTTATCATTTTAATTTGGCTTTTTGTTTTATAGTACATGCGTGTATAGCGCCTTTCTCTTCGAACAATATCAAAGGCATCTGTTTAGAATTACATTTTTTAGGTATTTTGAGGTGTAGTCATAGTCGAACGAAATATATCCGTAAAATAAAAATCAGCTTTTGATATAAATATCTGTTGAACTTCGGTCAAAATGGTTTATTTTTAATTTAGAAATTAATTTGTTTGAACTTTAACTACTTTTATACTCTTGCAACATGTTGCTACAGAATATGATAGTTTTGTTTACCTAACTGTTGTTTGTATCACCTAAAAATAATCGAGTTATATATTATATGTTATAGTTGTTCGATTTTCTTTATTTTCACTGTCATTGTTAAGTACAAGTATACAAAATTATTCAAAATTATGTGCTCTTCGCCTTTATATAAAAGGCAGGTAAAAATGAAATAACTTAATAATCGGTTGTATCATCTCATGTGATATAGTTGTCCGATCAGGCCGATTCCGACAAATGGCCAATAGAATGTCAAAATGCACATATGTATTAAATTTCATTTGGATATCTCGAAAACTGACGAAGAAATTTTTATGATCCCTAAAAATTATACCTAAAAAAAACGCTAACTCGAAACTGGTTGTAATCCCATAATAAGGCAAAGTTGTTCAGAATGAAATCAATCTCTCTGTAAATCAATCTATTTGTATTTTATGTGTATTTTATGGTGTCTCCGACGTTTCCTTTTGGGAGTTACAAACTTCGTGGAAATCTTAATATAATATATTCTATATAAATAGGGATTTTTCTGAAATTTGGCTTCAAATCGGGCATTGCAAAATTTCAGATCGATATCTCAAAAACTGATAGACTAGTTCGCGTATATACAGATATATACAGTAGGGTGGAGCGAAAAAATTTTAGTTTTGGTTTGCTTAGCCTGAGGGTAAAATTTGTAGTTTTTTTTTATAATCTAGAGGTGGTTACTTTTAAAGTAAATCTCGTGTTAAAATTTTTTTTGGACAAAAAATCATTTTTTTTGGTTAAAACTCTTCACATTTATATAAAAATGACCGAATTTGACGATTTTTGACTCAAAATTTATTTTAACGCTAAAGGTGAAGGGTCGCTTCTAGATGTTAAAAAAAAAAAATTTTTTATTCCTAAAAATTTTATTTTTTACAATTTTTTTTTTAATCAGTTATATACTCGTATATATTTAAAAAGGTCTCCGACGTTTCCTCTATGGTGTTAAAAACTTCGTAACAAACTTAATATATCCTGTTCAGGGTATAAATACTCAATATTAAAGAGACATATTCGAATAAAGTATGTCTAAAAATAAATTTATTTTACAAATTTTATAATTTTTGTGTATATGTATATTTATGTTATATGTATATTATATTATATAAAGCTCAACTAGCACTCTCTACGAATATAAAAAATTTCATAATACAACATTCAACATTTTCTCTTTGAATTAATAAATATATTTACAAATGTAAGTAACAATAACAAAAACAATACGTCACTTTCTTTCCTCCACTTGCACCCAGAAATCCAACGGTGTTATAGAAAGTCCGTTAAAATTTTTTGACATATCGGGCAATTTATCACCGGGCGCCAAAACAAAGTTGAAATTTTGACACAGCGCCGTTATCACTAAAAACATAATATTACGAGCGAAAGTTTCGCCGGCACAAAGTCGTTTACCTAAAGTAAAAAGTATGTCAACATTTTATTAATTATTGTTGTAGAAATTTAACTTACCCGCACCAAACGGCAACGTAATATCTTTCTTCAAGCACAATTTGCGATTGTCGTCCAAAAAACGCTCTGGCCTAAAGTTCTCCGGGTCACCCCACAGACGTGGATCTGAGTGAAAAGCGTAAAGACCAGGCACCACAATAGTATCCTAAAACAATAATGGAGTTGAAAAATATTATCTAAATCGCAAAGTCGCAAAGTAAACCCTTACCTTTGGTATCTTATAGCCCATGAGCTCAGTGTCTACCAAAGCTTTATGTGGCAAATCGGATGGTACTAAAGTCTCAATACGCATGCCCTCGCGCAAAGTAGCCTCAGTATAGTGCAAATTTTGGCGATCTTCCAACGTTGGCAAACGTCCGCTGCCCACCACCGCATCGATTTCCGCTTGTACGCGCTTCAACACTTCCGGATAATATAGGAAATATTGTATTAGAAAGCCCATTTGTGCGCCGACTGCTGTGAATGAGGGGAAGGAAAAATCGGCCAAGCTCAAAATGAATTGTTCGCGATTGTAGCAATCTGTGTGCCCATTGGCATGTTCCTGTTTCATTTGCTTAATATATAAATCAATGAAATTGCGTGCACTACACTCATCGTAAGTGCGTATATGATAGTCGACGATTTTTTCAAAATAACTGTAAATAAATACGTTCGATTCCATGAGTGCTTCATATGAGCTGGCCTTCGGAAAGACATGACGTATCCAAGGCATTATACTTAGCATTTTACCATAATCGTCAGCTTGACGCTGGAATTGCATACCCATCTTGACCAATTTTAGTAATTCCGCTTGTTCAGCGCGTGGAACACGTTCATTCATGAGAATGTGAAAAAATGAATTGACCACGAAAGGACTAAGTATATTTGGTATAGAAATTCGATGACCTCCTACTTTGGAAAGTTCATGTTCATGCGCATACTGTGGCCCGTTGCGTATGAGATCCAAAAGATCGCTGATCTCCTCTTGTATGACCGATTCCAATTCGGTGAAACGGCGACCAAAGCCGTAGTCACGTAGAAAACGCAATATAAAACGACGTTGTTCCTTCCATACGGGTCCTTCACGGAAGAAAATGCCTGTAAAATGAAAACGGAAACGATTTATGTTCAGGTGAGTCCTACGCTAATTTTAAGAAATGCAGTTTTAAGTTTAAAAAAATTGTTTTTTGCATCTTAAGGTCCTAAAGACATATTCAGTTGGTAGAATAGATAGAGAATGTTGCTGTTGTTGTAGCGGTTATGTAGTCGCGCTTGGGTGGTAAGGTTCGGGTTGGTTGTCGTCGAAGTCATCTATCAGTAGGCCCAAGAAACTCGCTGTTTCGACGGTGTCGAGCCATAGGGAGAGAGGCGCTAAATGAGTAGGTTTCGCTGAGCATGCAAAATGGTGGTTAGAGTCATTCGGGGACTCATTGCACGCTAGACATATGTTATTCTGGATAAGCAGAAGTTTACCCTCTAGATTCTTAGGGCAATACGAGCTCTTTGCCTAAAAGTGGTTGTGGTTTGACTCCAAGCACGCCATTCACTGAGAGTTAGTCGGTGAAGTGATTAGTTATACTCTTTTTGGGGGCTTTAGCTTGGAATAATTTTAATATGTGGCGCTGGTGTCTAAATACAAAACATCGTTATAACGAGTAAATATCAAGGAATTGTTGACTCGGATTTGAACATGAGATTTGCCGATATATTTTTATGTTATTTAAAAATATAAGCGGCAGGAAATGAAATTTTTTCAATTCTATTCATATTTTGTTTTTGCAACAGTAATATCGTCTGCCATAGTTAGACATTTTCTGATAACTAGGCGAAAGAAGAAGTAAATTTCAATATCTCTATTTTTAATCCTTTTTTGAAATCTGCGTCGATAAGGTATAAAAGCCGACCAAATTTTTACATACCACCGACACAACGTTTTAAAGGTAGATTTTGTTTCAAAAACAATATTTTCTAATATATATTCCACAGTGTGTTATAATAATAGCATACCAAATCTTTTAAGTGAACATTTCGAGCAGGGCGTGTGAACTTGAAACAACACCCCGCTTTATTTATAACGCTACCTCAGTAGTCATTCTATGCCAGCACAGATATTTAACAAAAAAAACTTCGAAGTCTGCACTTTAAAATTCTTTAACAAAAAACTTACCCAAAATTTGTTTACTTGGCGTACGTATTTCCCCCAGATACACTTGAGCACGCCCATCAAACTCCTTTCTATTCAAAACTTCGCGCACTCCCTCCACATTATGCACTGCCACCACCGGAAATGGGCCAACATGAAAACCAACAATGTCGGATTTATACCATTTACTAAATTTCAACACACCTTTGTGTAAATATTTGGCATTCGCCATCATCATGAATAAATAGCTGCCGAAGAACGGTATGCGTGGGGGTCCTGCAACACATACGAGTGTACACAAATTGGAATTCATTTACATAACGAAAAATTTCAAATTAGAACTTTAATTGAATATCGGTAGAAAAAGCACGAAAGCACACACACGCACACGGGCATACTCACCCGGCGGAAATCCTTCCGGACGCCCGACTGCATAGCGATAGGATAAATATAGGCAAACCACAGCACAAATACACAATAAAATTTCAGTTAACATTTTCAAAATTTCTTAAATGCAAATTTGTTCGACAAAATGATGTGCGACAACGTCGATAACCGACTGAACTGCAATTAACGGCGCGAATGTGCTTTTGTTCGCCATATCAACGCTAAATGCACAAAGATTAAGTATAGTAATTACGAATATTTAATTAAATCTAATATAGCTTGTCACAAATGTGCTAACTACTTGTATGTTGGCACTTCCACTTCTAATTGATGGCAAAACAATTTAATAGATTAGCATTTATTTAGTAATCGGTAACGCTTATTAATTTTATTTTTGAATTGCAATTCAGAATGTTTGACAATATTATAATTAAACATTTTTCTTGACCTAAGGTTAAGCTGATTGTAGAAATTTATGATAACTTTCTTAATTAGACGCAAAGCCATATTTGAAATACATTCATAACGAAAGACATGGCTATGTTTATTATATCCGATCATGTCTGTACATATAGTGAAACAGTTTCGAAGCAGCTGCTGTCTACAGCAACAACTATGTACTTGACACGCAGATTAATTATAATTATTAAATAACCGCAAAACGATAACGTTTAATAATATTAGTATACGAATAAACATTCATACTTATAAACATATTACAGTATCGCCTGTCAGGAAGTTAGGCCAAGGAAATTATTTGTGTGCCTTGAGTGTTGTATGTACATACATATAGTATATTAGATAATTCCGAAAAAGTTGTTGGTGAAAGTGCTATTTTGTTAATACAGAACACACCGATTCGGAAACTTTATTGCGAATATTAGAACTGTGAAAATTTGTATACCCTAAACCGAGTTTATTAAGTTTGTCGCAAAGTTTGAAACGTCGGAAACCTTATAAAGTATTTATATACATATTTACAGGATCAGCGTACCGTGCTGAGTCGATTGAGCCATCCGTCTGTCTGTCTTTATATACTTACTTGATCTAGTCTCTTAGTTTTTGAGATATCGATCTGAAATTTCGCACCCATCTTTTTCTCCCCAAGAAGCTGCTCATTAGTCGGAACTGTCGATATCGGACCATTATAGCATCTAGTTGCCTTACAAACTGACCGATCAAAATCAGGTGTATTGTATTGAAAACTTTTTTATTTGACAAGATAACTTCATGATATCAGATATTTTCAAATTTAGTATGGATTATTATCTAAGAGTATGTTACAATCTCCTAACATATTGATCAGATCGGACCAATATAGCATATAGCTGCCAATCAAATTGATGATAGAGATCTTCATAAAATTTGTTTCTTCTTATTAAGTAACCTTATTTCGACCTGATGGTTGTTTATATCAAAAAATGTGGCTAGAAAGCATTAGCAAAACGTTTACAAACGTTGCTATAAAAAATGAAAACGCGAAGCCTATTATAATTTAAGTGCAGCTATTTAGATGTGAGATTTAGGCGCAGTTTCTCGACTCTAAATAATTGAATTTGTGGGAAATATTCTTATACATCGCATGTTAATCAATGAATAATTTCACATATTTACATATATTATAAAAAATCTTTTAGATATTTTTAAAACTCGGAAATCAGATTACAAAAGGGAGATGTTCCAATGCCAGCTCACATTCTTTATCGTTTTCATATAATATTTTATGGATTTATGTCATCCAATCATGAGAATAAAGTTCTCAGTATTTATGAAATATACAAAAAAGATATGCTAAGAACGCATACAACTGAAGAAACTTTATATAGCACAAAAAAATCTATAACTTCTTAAATCTTAATTTTATTTTAAAAAGTATTTAAAAGTGTCTTGCTGGTCTTTATGCTGGTTTTTAATGCGTGTTAGCAATTCAATTATTATTTATTAAAAACAAACTTTTTCTAACGTAGTATTTAAACGGTATTTGACAAATGATTGAAAGCTTCGTAATAGTTGCAGAACTACGAGTATACGCGAACATATATTACCTATTGAAAAATAAGGCAGTTTTAGTTCAAATGCAATTTAAAATTTCACACTTAAACCTGAGTTTTCGCTAATTTAACTAATACCCGAAGGAATAATTTTCAAGACAGGTATAAAAAGTTGAAAATCTATTGGCACAGCAAATTTTCTTTTCAAATCAAAATCGGATTCGCCCTATTTTAATATGAGTTAGGTAATAATAATTGTTATTTAATTAATATTCGTTAAATGCTAATATTATAATAACCAGGTTATTTAAATATTGTAATTATATTTTATATTATATGCACATTATACACAGCATATTTTATACATCACACCGAAATTATATACTGTGTATTAGGGTGGAGTGAAAAAAAATTTACTTTTTTTTTGCTTAGGCTTGGGGCAAAATCAGTTTTAAAGTAAATTTCGAATTAAAATTTTTATAAAATAATATATATAAAATATACCGAATTTGACGGTTTTTGACTCAAAATTTATTTTAACGCTTAAGGAAAGCATGTGGTCATTTAAGACTTTTTTAAAACTCCAATACTGACTACAAAAAAATTTTTTAAGTTGATAAATTTTAATTGTCTAGAAAGAGGACTCTCCACGGCTTCTAGAACACTTATCAAAATTTTTTACGAAATAAAAATTGCGCGAGGTGTCAAAAAAATTTTTTTTTGGCCAAAAATTTTCTTTTTTTCAAATATACAGATTTTACGCCCAGGCTAAGCCAAAAAAAAAAAAAATTTGCTCCACCTTACTAAATACTTAGATATGACCATCCGCGAATAATCATAAATCTGTCATAAAAATATATTATTACGTAATCCAAAATCGTACCTGTTGAAACTTTTGTTTCTGTTGCTGAGCAGTTTAAGATCTTGACCCTAAAAAAACTCTAATTACAGAGTATAAATATTTATGGCTCAAGTGCATTTCTTTTATTTTTGGGTATTATATACTTCTATTATAGCATTTTAACGTTCCATTCGTTAGCAGTGATAAGAGAATCAGTGATAAAATATATTTATTGCCAAAAACCATTTGCACTTTAAAGTTCATTAGTCTTTATTATACTCTTGCAAGACTTTGCTACAGAGTAAATTGGTTTTAAATATAATCGAGTCAGATATAAAATTATATATAACTATATAAATAAATGCTCAGAATGACGAGAAAAGTTAAAATTGGGATGTCTGTCTGTCTATCTGTGCAAGCTGTAACTTGAGTAAAAGTTGAGCTCTCCTGGGCTCTCCATTGAGGAGATTGGATCATAACCATATACTCATGATTTGTCACCAGTTTTGAACCTTTAAGCAAATCTCAATCAAACTTAACAATTTCGGAAAGAACTTCGTTGCCTCACGCTTCATGCCAAAATTTCTGAACTGAAAAATTTGCATGGCATGAGCTAACCGATATGCCGACATCTTCAGAAACTTCGCTAATAGTGATTCGACGATTCTTCATAACAATTTTCTTCTTCTTTCTTTTAACATTTTCATCGGTTGTTGATGTCCAGGGTGAGCGTCGTTTTTGATTGATGTGGAAAAAGTCAATCAGGGAATCGATATTTATAATATTAGCGATATAAGGTTAATAGCAAAGTCTGGATCAACTCCATTCACATTCGCCGCTAAACCTTTTTTATAATTTTATAGTTTTAAAGAAAACTTGTCCACTTCAATTCAGGATTTAAAGTCAACTGGAAAGTCGCAAATCACTAAACAGGGTATTTTAGGGATATATACGGTATAAAGCCAAGCGGAAGTATGAAAATCATATATTAGATATATGGGAGACAATGGTGGTATTGACCCGATTTTATTAATTTTTGCCAATACAACAAACTATTAACAGAATAAAATGCATCCTGTGTTTCATTATAGTTCCTTACATACCATCCCCAATACTTGTATACATACATATGTATATAAAGTCAGTTCAAAGTTCGAAAATCCTGATATTAGTTACGTGGAGGCTAGGGCAGGATTTTCACCCGATTTTATCCATTTTAAGTACAAAGATACTCTGTTATTAGGAAAACACAGTTTTACTAATATAACTCACAAATTGGCCGATATATGCAGTATCCCGTTTTTGACAATTTTTATACTCTCGCAACCTGTTGCTACAGAGTATAATAGTTTTGTTCACCTAACGGTTGTTTGTATCACCTAAAATTAATCGAGTTAGATATAGGGTTATATATATATAAATGATCAGGATGAAGAGACGAGTTGAAATCCGGGTGACTGTCTGTCCGTCCGTCCGTCTGTCCGTCCGTCCGTCCGTCCGTGCAAGCTCTAACTTGAGTAAAAATTGAGATATCTTTATGAAACTTGGTAGACATGTTTCATGGTACCGTAAGACGGTTGGTATTGCAGATGGGCGTAATCGGACCACTGCCACGCCCACAAAACGCCATTAATCAAAAACAAATAACTTGCCATAACTAAGCTCCGCAATAAGATACAAGACTGTTATTTGGTACACAGGATCACATTAGGGAGGGGCATCTGCAGTTAAAATTTTTTTTTTAAAAGTGGGCGTGGTCCCGCCTCTAATAGGTTTAATGTGCATATCTCCTAAACCGCTAATGCTATATTAACAAAATTCACTAGAAGCAAATGTTTTTAGCACTTCTATTGACGGTGTGAAAATAGTTGAAATCGGGTGGCAACTCCGCCCACTCCCTATATAACGGTACTGTTAAAAACTACTAAAAGCGCGATAAATCAAGCACTAAACACGCCAGAGACATTAAATTTTATCTCTATAATGGTATGAGATGACTTTATAGGAACCGCGTTCAAAATTAGATAGTGGGCGTGGCACAGCCCACTTTTAGGTGAAAACCCATATCTTGAGATCTGCTCAATCGATTTCAACCAAATTCGGTGCATAACGTTCTTCTTTCGTTTCTATGTCATAGTGTGAAAATGGGCGAAATCGGACTACAACCACGCTTACTTCCCATGTAACACTATTTTCAATTCCATCTGATTCTTTCACTTTCCACTATGCAAATCAGGCAACAATGACTGTATCGGGATAAAACTTTGCGTGAATAATGCGATTAAAGTATGCCACCTTGTGACCAAAAATTGTCTAAATCGAACCAAAACTGTTCAAGCCCCTAAGTACTAAATATGTGGACCCCAGTGCCTATAGTTGACCTTCTACCGAAAATATCAGTCAATCCACAAAGAAATCTCAAACGAGTATACCATTTGACTTTGCGAGAGTATAAAATGTTCGGTTACATCCGAACTTAGCCCTTCATTACTTGTTAGACTTAAGATTTATCTTAATATAACTTAAATACTGTCTTTAGGCAAAGTTTTATCCTGATATTTTCATTAGCACTTGATTTGTACTCTTGAAATGAAAGACATCAAAAGGAATTTAAATTTGTGTTATATGGGAAGTAGGCGTAGTTGCAGATCGATTTCGCCACTTTTCCAGGTTATTGTCACCTACCAAATTTGGCTGAAATTGGTCGAATAGGTCTGGAGATATGTAACATCACTTAAGGGTGGGCGGCCAATTTTGACACTGGCTCCTATAAAACACTCCTGTATCATATCGAATATAAAATTCAAGTATCTGACGCCTTTAGTTTTTTATTTATCGCACTTTTAGTAGATTTTAATAAAACCTTTACGTGGGGAGTGCTGGCGGCTTTTCTTCCGATTTCACCTATTTTCACACTGTCGTAAGAGATGTCGAAATTATATGTAATGTGCATATTTGGATGATACAAGTATATGTAGCTTGAACGATGTAGGAGATATTACAATAAACTGATTAGGCTGCCGATATCACAATTTTTACTTAACTTACAGCTTTCACAGACTGACGGACAGACAGGCGGACGGACAGTTAATCGGTCGGATTTCAACACATCTCATCATGCTGATCATATATATATGCATAATTCCATATCTATCTCAATTAGTTTTATGTGTTACAAGAACCGTTAGGAGAACATAACTGTTATACTATGTAGCAACATGTTGCAAGAGTATAAAAACCTCTTAATACTCAACCTTTGTTAGTTAAAATCCTCCGGATATTACATATAATAAACAATGATATCTCGTGCCGTGCTTATAGCGGAGCTATAAAAAGTTGCAATTAAAAAATAGAAGACAGAATATCTACATTATAGTAAGAGGAGTCCTCGGCGTCCTACGTCTCGAATAAGAACGAAATTTTCATGTATTTACACATATATATATATGCATACGTAGATGCCATCGATGGCTACACGTCGATTATAGCAATCAACATTCATTTCAACATTTCGATACCATTTTTAGGTCAAACTTGTGTTTTACTTCAAAATAGGCTTCAGCTTTGACAATTTCGTCGCTAAATATCTTTCGTGCGTGTATTATCTTGGGGTCTGCGGACAATATAGGTAGGTAGGTAAGTAGAGTGGCTGTCTTTCGACACACCTAGGCCTTTAGGAGCCCCATTGTGATACCACCGGGATTAAGGTCCCCTTACTCTATTGGCTGCTCTCTAAACCACCCCGTACTTCTGATGAACTTCATCAGTAAGTCAAGTTTTATCTGTATAACTTCCGAGACGTGTTGGCATGTGCAGCTCATATTCATGCCACGTTTGCCTTATTAGAAACCTATCATGGAAGCTCAATGTTGAGGAAATGGGGAGGAACGCATGGGTTGTCTTATATTGTAGTAAATGAGCTTCTGGGAAGCGGTGCGGACTCTCACCAAAAGTTGTGTTTTGGCTTTACGGAAACGTAGTTAAGCCAATAGCTTGCTATCAGACTCCGGGAAGCCGGACACATTAAGGGTCCCATAGAGGAACATTCCGAAATCCTCTCTCACTTTGATTGTATCCCTGATAACTTGGACCACTGCACCTCGGAGCCTAGTAATAGCGGCATCTCCGCATACATACTTGCCTCCGAGGGATATATGAGTAGAGCGGAGTGGCTGGTGAAGAGGCGCAGTGAAGTGCATATGCTTTTAGGGAGGTATGCATCCACTCCGACAGCAAAACTGCTGTATAGACCCTGAGCTCGCAGACATTAAACTAGCTGCACTCCTTGCATGACATCAAGCTACTTCCATATTAAGATTGTCTTGGTGCCTAACCACAGCGGAATCGTCGAAAACTGTATAGCCGATGAGCTCGCAAGAAAAGGCACCTTACCAAAATCCGTCTCTGATAATTTTGCCAAATATTTTTAAGTTATGTTTCATTATATAAAGTAGTTATTATAAAGTTAATGGATTTTTATGTCACGAACTACAATACACATATGTAATTAAAAATTCATTATATTTTAGTTAATCCATTTATGGAATTTTCGTTTTATTTTTCCTCATCAATATTAATTATATAGTATATAATATTTAGTAGTGTTTTGATTAACATATACATGTATTTAGATTAGTATTTATATTATGTATTTTCAACAGTGCATATCGACCAATTATAGAATACGAATATGATAACTTGAGAAAAATTTGGTTTAATAAGATTAGCAACGTTTAAATTCACAATGAAATAGTAAAGCTAACAAATACAATACAATTAATTAATTACACATACATATAATGCATATGTAAGCTTAAGTACATATGTACAAATAGTGAGGATTATGTGTGGGGGTGTTCAAAAGCGATAAGTTCATTTAAAAACTTAACATTATTTGTAATTCCATTTATTACATTTTTGTTATAAATATAATCTTTTTTATTTAATACTATTATTATTTTTGTTTTACTCTATTGTTTTTGTTTTACTCTATTGTTATTGTTTTGCAATTAATTACCATATTTGTTGTAAATGTTCAAATTTTGTATAATAATTGTAAATATTTTAGAACTTTATATGAACTGTGCATAATTTGAATGGCTTTTATTTAGGCTATTTTACAGTGACGTGCATAAAAAAGCACACAAGTTGTGCTCTATTTTTCTTCCTTGAAAACTCGTCTGAACAAATGAAAAATAACTTTTTTCTTAAATAAAAAGTTAATTGCATTTATTTAAAAAAAATTAAAATATACGTTGTTGTTGCAGTTTTAACTTACAAATATTTATATATTATGTGTGTGATGTACATATGTATATAAATTGTAAACTATTTGATTTGCTTTCTTTTTAAGCACATATATCAATTATTAATAATATTCAGCTCTCATATAAGCCAGTGGCAAAAGAATACTCGCTAAAATAGAAAAAATGTTTTTGGTATAAAAACATAAAATCGAAACTTTTTTCGATTTCAATGAGATTTATTAAAAATTTAGCGAAATTACTTATAGTAATAACTATATAGTATAGTTCGAATCCACGAACTTTTGAGCGTGAGGAATCAAATAAACAACTCACATAAGTCAAATAAAATAGTGAAGTGTCACTCTATAATTTATACCGCTCTTACATGTAAATTATGTGACAATCGAGCAGTGCTCAACAACGTTGGCAGTGTTGTGGCGAATCGAACACGGCTATAGTCATGTTATTAAAGATGTACTAGAACATTTTCAAGTAACTGGAGGCAATATCTCACGAAACACCAACAACTGAGAAGCTTCCAGTATTCTTAAAAAGAAAAAAAAAGAATTCTTTTGGCACTCGCTTACAAAAGCACAGACTTAATACAACTACACATATAAATATATATTAGCACATTATTTGAATTTTTTATTTTATTTTTTCAATTAATATGTGAGACACGTGCGCATACACATTTACGTTGCAATCGAATTTTCGAATTTAGGGGGCACACCTAACCTAAAAGAGAGTGTTTTTTGGAAGTTTATTAAAACGAGAAGACTACTGTTGATAAACTAGTTTTTTTTGTTAATTTAAGGTTATTTTAAAATTTTAGGGGTATATTAATAGATATCTTCAGAATGCACAGAAAAAATTTAGAAGGTATAAATTAAATATTTTTGGAGTTACGAGCGATCTCCAACGGCACTAAAATAGAATTCCTTTACTGCTGCAACAATTCCGGGCTACTCCGTGGATAAAACCTAAAAAAAAAGTTCTCACTAAGAGATAATGCCCGTACAAGGACGTGCGGTTGGAAATAAAAAACAAAAATTGACAAAATAGCCGCGTTTAAAAAAAGTTGAATTGTATCCAAAATTTTGGTCGTTTCGAGTTTTGATCAGATTAAAAAACTGTCTGGAGAACTTGGAGAACTATATACAAAACATGTACAAAAGATTTAATAGTTATCGGATCATTTGTCTCCGAGTAATCACTGCAGCAAATTCGATAAAGTTGTTTCGACAATAACTTGCTTGAAGATAAACTGATGTAGCTGATTTAGCCGAGCGGGTGCACTGTAGAAAACTGAAACTTAAAAACTATTTGAGTTATCGTTTTATATTTTTAGTATGTTATTTTTAAAAGTATAACCTATCGAAATGTGAAAAAAATCTATTTTTTTTAATATCACACTAGGTGTGCCCTTTAAATGCATCAGCAGGTGCCACGCCCACTAAAAGTGATGTACTATATGTTTTGTTCGCAAATGTATATACACTGAGCACTTATTATTGAAGTATTATTGAACGGTATATATATATATGGTATATGTCTCAATCGCTTAATTTGAAGTAATGTAAAATATTCGTTGATTCATTTTCTTTCGAAATTTTTTTTTTATTTTGCTTAATACCTCGAGAACTTAAAAAACAATTAAGTAATTAAATAACTTAAAAATTAAAATAAGCATAAATACAAAAGTAATATTAAATTTTCAACACTTCCATAACAACGCGTGTATTAAACAATACATATGTATATATCAATACCGATATCTTAAACGTTTCAGCGAATTGATTTTTCTACAAAAAATTGCTGTGTTTCATTGTATGTTACACTCTTAAAAAAATCGCATGTGCAACACTGGCTAACAATTAGTTTTTGGTCTTTTAACGCTTTGTTTTTGTTTGTGTTTTTTTTTTTGGAATGTTTCGTATGGAGTGTCTTTAACATTTTGTTTTGTTAGTTTTAAATTTACTTGTTAACATATTTATAAATACATCTACATATATGCAATTAATTGTATTTTGCCTTCATCTTAATATTGTGAATGTAAATATGTGTATGTTTATATGTGGGTATGTATGGTATATAGTATCTAATGCATGCCTTGCGTTGAACCACTCATTGTGAGTTGGCAAGTTAACTGGCAACAAATGATCTTCGTCAATATGTAGTATGTAGGTATGTAAGTATTTATATTCTTTCATGTAATTATAAAACGCTTGCGGCGCTTATTCATGCGCCTGCGACTCTTGTTGCACCAGCTTGAAGCGTCGTGGTGACTTTATTGAGCCTCGGGAGAGTGACTTCAGTTGCCCTTTCTGCGCCAACGTTTTGCATATGTAACGCGAAATCAGCGTTTGCGGCCGATTCTGCCATTCGTGCATTACCTCCTTGGGTGCATTTACCTGAAAATATTTGAATATATAATTCGATATCTCTTTTCCAAATCGGCATTTATTAAAGCTTTTCATATCCATCGAAAGGTTAAGCGAAAATTCTTTTATTCCGGAATAGTGAGAAACTTTTTGCCTAAAATTGTGTTATTATTTCAATATGAAGAATACCTTAGCCAAAATTTTTGCTATTTGGTGGGATCAGAAGGGTGTTCTTGATGTCAAGTTCCTAATAAATTGTTTATTGTCTTTTATAGATTTATAACTTCTACTTCAGATAATAACAAATATGCGACTAAGTTATAATACCTCATCATTTTGAATTATGATGTACTTTGATCCCTTTTTAACTCCGCTAGAACTCACCTGATCTCCATTTAGACGATTTAATAGCGCAACGCATACGACTGCCGCCTTAATGCCAGCATGATATGTAAGTGCAGCGAAAATGGTGCTCTCCATTTCGATGTTGACCACACCTTTGCTGCTCAACATTTCCAAATACTCCATTTTATCGGTTTCGGTGAATTCGCAGAATGCACCATCCAAACGACCTTGACCTTCAAATGCAAGAAAAAATAATAATGTCTGATTGGTAATTTTATTAATTCATTTTTCATACCTTCATAGAAGTCATTTGTACAGAGAGTTTTGCCGATAATCGTGTCATAAGGATCATCCTCACTGGCAAGCGCTTTAAGCTCACGTGCCAGTTTCTTATCCAATTTGGCAGGTCGTAGAACAGTTTTGCCCAAAATTGTCTGGAAATAAGCACATTTTTGTAAGAACCAGTTATTTCAAGTCATTGCAAGGGGGTTTTCACTTACAAATTCATGTGCATTCCGCATATGGCTATCGAGCGCTTCTTCGGTGATGATAACAGTACCCCCCTCAACTCCCACACCACCACAAGTGCCAATACGTATAAATATGGGGTCTTGACACTTGGCGTGATACATGAGTTTGATCAATTCGTGCAACAATATGCTGACAGAGGGTGTTCCCATGCCGTGACTTACGCAAAGCACTGGACCTACTTTGTACATTGAGTAGCGATATGAATAGGCGCTGATATCTTCCAATTTTGTACCGGCGGGTAATTTATAACCAATTTCACCCATAATGAAATGTGCAAAATTTTCCATTCGCTTTGGTGTTCCGCCCATGCAAACAAACTGAAAGTAAAAAAGGAAAGCAATTTTAAGTTTTAATATTAAAGTAATAATTAATTTAGCGTATAATTGAGTAATGATGTTTTTAAGAATTTGGAATTAGGAATTAGAAATTTCTCCATATATAACTATACACTCGATCATTGCGGTATGAAAGAACTCTTGTTTTAGGTAATGACGATTACGCGATATGACGTATGTATAGGACCTCTTGGACCTTCCTCGTAAATAGTCTATTTCTCTATCTTATGAAATCAACGGTAACCGTTTTCAACATCTTGATGAATTGACGAAGGAGTATAAAATTTCCATTACTAACGCAAACTTTTGACAGTTTGTACCTATATCTGTACTCTAAATACGGTCAAAATAAAAGAGCTATAAGGAATCTAGCTGGTCTTGACGAGAGCGTAAATGAATTGTTATTGATTAGAAGGCAATCGGCTGATAGTAAACTTTATATTAACTGTGTAGTTATCTCCCTGATTTGGAAATTGGTTTTCATGAGCATCGAAATGAACTTCCTAAAACACACAGACGATAACCGACTTTATATAAAGCACTCTTCGAAAGCTATCATATTCAAACACCCTCTGGATATCAGAGAAAAGCTTCATTAATTCACATCCTGTGAATGACTGTCTGGAAATCAAACCCCAATCTATTGCACACGAAAACATCCAGTTAAGACCAATAATCTAACAACACTTCCCAATGGTCACAGCCAGTCGAAAATTGCCTAACTGACACCAATTTACTAACAAAACTAATTGATTGCATGATAGTATAAAGTTGTTCATAAAGAAGATAAATAAATACTATTTTTCTTATATATATGGATATTTTCATAATTTTTATCCAATAATCATTACGTTTATTTTATAAAGTGTGAACTGTATTGTCGCTGGAATGCATGCTTGTGTATGAAATTTATTAAAAATCGAAGCATACCTTTAGGCGCCAATTATCGCTCTTTTGATTGCATAATTTCCAACCGATTACTCACATCAGTTATTTGCTTTGATTAGTTTGAATACTGAGTTGTTGATACACACATTCAAACTTTAAAATTGTACTTAGCAAACAATTTGTATACACTTATGCAATTTTAAACTTGTTCTTGCCCGAAATTGCCGAACACAAATTATGCATATTTGAGCCAATGTGAAAGTGGTCAAGTTGAAGGTAAGGTAAGTCTTAATCAAAATCTATACGACTGCTAATGACATTGTTTTTGCTAAATTTTTTGCTCTTCTAAAAAAATCGATGTTTTTTAGTGAAATTTTTGTACATTTAAGAGCCTGACTTTGCGAATGTCACACATATGTATGTTTATATAACATAAAAATATCACTTATTGTATATATGTGGGTATATTTCGTGTGCCTTATTTGTTCATCTTTCGTCTTTAATTCCAAAATATATATACACATATCAGCGACAATCATTTGAATTAGTGAATTAATTATGATACAGTTATTCATTGATAATTTTAAATTGTACGCCCAGATGTACATATGTATTTATGTAAGTGCTGTATGTGTGTATGTAAGTGCTTATCAGTGCATATTTAAATTTGATGTAAGGATTTAATTTAAATGAAAGCTTATCACACCAATTACGTTTTAGTTTAATAACAGGCGAATTAATTATCTCAAAAACTAATGCTTGATTTAATTTCAAATTTACAGAATTTTAATGACACCTCCAAGGCCCAGTATTATAATTCAAAGTGGTATTTTCAAGTTTATTTAATATTATTAAACATTTACACATATGTTTACTATAATTATACTTACATATTAATAATAAATTATAGTGTAGTATATTAATAAAAAAAACATTGTGTAATAGTTTCAGTGTTAATTATAGAGGTTCAAAATCCACGACCTGCATAACAAGCTTCTAGGAAAATGTATTACTTGTCTTTTAATTTATTCATAGAGTAAAAATACTGTTGTAAATTGAATGAATTTTTAGTAAATAAGAAAAAACGTTAGCTTCGGTTGCACTGAAACTGTAATACCCTACACAAGTGAACTGCTTATAACTTAAAGAAGTATAAAAACATCTTCACTTTGATTTTGATTGAACAGCTTGTATTGCTGCCATATACTATAGTAGTCGCATCTTAACAATACGTTCCGGGACTTAAGCGTTGCTTTGGACAATAATCTGTGCCAAATTTCGTGAAGATATCTTATCAAAAAAAAAAAGTTTTCCATACAAGGACTTGATTTTGATCTGTATGTTTGTTTGGCAGTGTTTAATATCGGAGGTTCCGACAAATGAGCAGCTTCTTTAGGAGAAAATAAGGTTTGTAAAATTTCAGATCGATATCTTAAAAACTGAGGGACTAGCTCGTGTATATACAGACGGACAGACAGGTGGACATGGCTAAATCGAATCAGCTCGTCATAGTGATCATTTATATTATATATATGTATATACTCGTATATAGGCACTTTATAGGGTCTTCGAAGTTTCCTTGTGGGTGTTACAAACAACGCGTACTACAATTATTGTAATTACTATAATTATGTAAATTAATATACCTTGGTCAGGGTATAATAACGTTAATCATGCAACTCCAATTTTCTTCAGAGAGATTAAGTGTTAATTGATTAAAATAACTCAAATATTGACCGTTATACTCGTATGAGAAACGGCGTGGTCGTGAACTGTATTTTAAACTTCTCTAAATTAACATAAGCTGTTTTTATTTCGCCAAGCGAATCGAATAAACTATACTAGATGCCCATACATAGGGGCAGCAATTGTGTTGCAACCTTGAGCTAATATGTCGCCCTACGCATGCGCAATAGTGTTATGATTCTTTCTTGGTGGAAAAACTATTTTTCTTTGGCGTTAAAAAGTGTTGCTATAACTCCTTATTTTTGTTTTGTATTAACTACTAAAATTGATTTTAAGTCTTATACAAAATACAGATATTTGAAATTTCATTTGTCTTTTGAACCATTCACAATAGTAAAACTGATCTAAAATATGCAAAACAAAACTTGGTAGCATTGAAGATACACTTTAATCAGAAATGCTCATACTTTCCTGCACCAATTCAACTCGATAACTTTGTTTTTGTGACAAGAGAGCAAGCGATTTGGGTTCATTTAATTCATACATTTTACTACGAGAGTGGCGAATCGAATAAACAATTAGCAAAATAAAATAGTCTAATATGATCTAATAAATACAGATTATTATTTTAATGAGGTAAACATTGAGACTCTTGTATATAATTTAACTTGAAAACATTCACATATGGTATATGTACATTTTTTGAAGAGCTCACTCATAGCGGGTGGCGAAGCCAAGACGGTTATACTCGCAAATTACCAAAAAAAAAAGTTTAAAATAAAAAATAATTTTTTTTTTTTAATAAGAGAGTTATTATTTCTTATAAATATTTTAAATATAAATCCACTTACTTTAACATCACCGAACATTTCGTGTAAATCATGACTTTCGCTCCCCAAAGCGAGATGGTAGAGAATATCTTGATCCATCAGTTCGATGTTCGAATTACGCAGCTTGACGGTGCCATCGGAATATCTAAGCGAATAAAAAAATATGAAACTGTTAATAAAATTTTGAAACAATTTTTATTTTTATATGCTAGTAGGTAACACGCTTTCATATTAAAATGTTTATAAATACTTGGGATCTAGCACAATTAAGAACACTTAACAATATAAAATATTATATATATTATTAAAAATATATAGGTATAGGTTTATACATTGTCTAGGAAAAGGTTCAGGCATAAAATAAATAGCGCAATAAACAAAAAATAATTACACCTAATTCTGTTTTACACCTTCTTTCTTTACACGGTTTGAAAATAAAACAATTTTAATTTTTTACACGATTTTATTCCATTTAACACGATTCAAAATTTTGTTGGGCTTAAATTTTATATGTCAGATTAAATTTTTGCGAAATGTGGATACAAGATAGTTTACCGGACCGAGCACAAATTTATAGGAACGATCAATGTCTTTTTATACACGGTTTTTCTGGAACCAATCTACCGTATAAAAGCAGAATTAGGTGTACACGTTTCTAATAAAGTGCTGATTAATCGGATATTAGATGGCATAGGACTTTTTTATGCGGATTAAGTATATATTAAACCTCTCACAGCTTGTCATATCTGCCTTTTTGGTCATACAAGTTATGTTAAAAAAATAGCTGGAATTTTAAAATTTCGCGGGTTTGGAAACTCCAATTGTAAAAATTGTCCGGGCAGATCGCCAAGCTTATAATAACGCGTCTAACCTTAACAGACAAATAAAGCAATGAATACAGTTTAAAGTTTTATCATTCGCCAAACTTTTTTATTATTTTAAAGTTATATCTATGCATATTTTAAAAATACACAGTAAACAAAAAAACAAAAATATTTTTCGAGTTACTCGCGATCTTCGAGGGCGCTAAAGGATAGAGGTCCTCCATTACTGCAGTGATTCCGGCCTTCTCTGTGAATGAAACCTAAAAATTCTCTCTAGAAGACATTGACTGTACAATGACCTACGGTGGAATTTATTAAACACAATTGACGACGTTTTGAAAAGGATTTATTAATTTCACTTAAAAGTTTAGTCGTTTTTGGCCTGCCAAAACGATTTAAAGACTAAATGATATGGCTAATTGAACATATCGGCCAAAAAATATTTAAAATATTCGAAATATGCAAAAACAAAAAAAAAATTTCCAAATTTCACGTCAGGTGAGCCCCTTAAAAGACTTTTAAATCGTTGACCGTTTAAATCGAATTTTTAATATTCGGGTTTCAAAAAAAAATACAGACTTCAATATGCCAAGGTTGCAGTGTATGTATTTAAAGAATAAATACAACATTCATACTTTCGGTGAATAGGTTTTTGAACATGACCTATCTGGGAGAATTTTGGAAAACAATGACAAGTAATATTCAAAAATGTGTGCAAATATTAAATGGTTATTTCAATATTATTATAATTTACCTGTACAATTCTATTTATATTTATTTTTATAATTTTTAAAGCAAATGAGTATTACAGGAAGCTTTACTTTACTACGTAGTTGTTATTCAATTCTCATTTAATATTTATTTACGGGTACTTATAAAAATTAAGATTTTACATTTCACAATATTTATACATATGTTTATTTGTATAGTTCTACTAACAAAACTTATTATAAAACTATTATTAAACAGTTGTTCAACCAAAACGAAACTACGACCATATTTTTACAATATAAAACGTGAACTCAAACATAAAACAGCTGATAAGACATATTATATATGTATACTTATATATACGTATGTATATAAATAAATATAAACTCAGTAAACAAATATTTATTGCTTGAGCAACAGTTTCATTTTATTTCGTAAATTATTCATTGATAATGTGTAGTATTTAACAACGCTCATTCACATTCAAACTCATTTAATAATCGGCAAACATCAGCAATGTCAATGAAAATTTCCCAAAGCAGCAACTAGAGTCATGTAAAAGCATGAATTTTTCCAAATTGATAAAAACGAAAGTGCAAACGGTAATGTCACAATCTACTACCAAATATGTCCATAAACTACGTATATGTACATTAGGGTCGTCGTAAAAAATCGGTGGATTAGGGAGGTCGTAAAGTTTTGATACAATTTCATATACGAGAAATTAATACTTGAACTTGAATACCGTATCAAAAAACTGCACTTGTTAGTATTTACAGTAATACTGTAGGTATTTTTAGATATCAAATCATATTTATTAATCACGCTTTTAAAAACTAGTTGCACTCTTTACTGTTACTAATAATTTGATTCATTGCCCTTGGCCTTTCAATTACTTATTAGTTAATTAGGGTGAGACACCCACTTCAGAGATTACTTTCTGACATACATAAGTATGCTAAAAGACTAATATGTTGGGTTAAAAGATAAGAAAGATTAAAAAAATATTTTCATTTAATGGCAATGAGATAAACAATTGGGGAATGATGACGAGGGCCATTAAACAGGTCGCATCTTCGATAACGGTAAGCGTGTGTTTTTTAATGCGCGTAAAAGATTTGTGTTTTATGACAATTAAAAACTTATGAAAATGGTAATCGGTTTAGATACCCCATTTGCAAATGGAGGCTAGATTTAAGTCAAGTGATTAGTAAATTTAATTTATTACTAATCATAAGCAGAAAAATCGATCGATTTTGATTTTCGCCTAAAAATATAAAACATGGAAGAGATAAATTTAATTAATGCTGTAAAACATTAAAAAATTAAAAAAAATATAAGAGGAAAAATTAAAATGACCGCTATAGTTTTGAGTTACAGTTATCTGATGAAATTCGATTGTTTATTTGAGTTCTTCATTTATAAAATAATCAGTTTTTCCAACTGCATCTTTTTTAAACAGTGTTGACATGTGTACTCGTAAATGATGAGGGAATTGTTGCCTTGATTTGACATACAATATTTTAATAATGTGCTAACAGCATCAATTCTACAAATTTCAAGTAATAAGATGCTTCTAAATTACTTTTCTCAAAACAAATAATCTACTGAAAAAGAAAAAGAGGAGAGAAAATTCTTGTAACTGATTGGCAAATATTCCTAATATTACAACAAAAACCACTTGTTTTCTAAAACAAGCAACTTTAATTTGCTGTCTTCCCAGACAAGAGTTGATATCTCGATAAACTTATCAGCGGCAATATTGCCAATGCAGATCAAATATTACTTGTGTGTGCTATGTGCATAATTATCGGAATTATTCCTGAATAATTATCCATATAACTATAACTTGCACTAAACAGTAATTTTAGTAGTTTGACAGCTATATTTTCATTTCCATAAAAAAAAAGTTTAAATATTCAAATCCTAGTGTACGAAGGCAACATTTTATGAATCCTTTCTTTTCTGGGGTTACATTTTAACTCCAAAATATCACATATTTGTAAATTATGAAAAAATAAATACCGACTTCAACTCACAAAATGTAGCCGTAAAATTTTGACAGACATTTCGTTGACAAGTTTTTTTAACTGTCAGATAACTATTTACGTATGTATGTACTCAGTTTAGAGTTGACTATAATCAAAACTCTGAAATTATTAATATCCTAAAACTCAGGATTTTAAAACTCCTTATTTTTATTTTTTTATCTCGATATTGCGATTAAAAATTGAATTTAAATTTTTTTTTTGGATTGAATGACGTACGCAAAGGAAAAACAATTTAAATTCTAAAACAATTTTTTATTATTGGGATTAAAATTGCATTATTTGCAACCCTGATATAGGCAAATATCATAATTAATTTTTATATCATAAAGCATTGGACCATAGAGGCTTAAAAAATTCTTTCACTCCAATTAAGAATTTTTTACTTTAAAGTTCAATTTAGAATTGTCTAAAAATGTAAAAAAAAACACTTCGAGGTTTTACAAATTACAAATTTTCATAGAATTGAGACCGATGCCTTTTCCAAAGTGTTATGTATTGTACATACATGTTTAAATATTTTATGCTGTTTTGAACTATTTGTCGAGAATCTGGCATAAATTTCACGACTTGAGGGCAGACAACGAATTGCAATTTTTATTCACTATAAATTAATTAAAAAGTGCATGCGTCTACGAAATACATTATTACTACCTGGTCCAAACACAAACACTAGCGTGAAACTCATACTCCTCCTCGTAGTCTTCATTGCAGCGCTCGCAATCCTCGCTATTTACAGCTATAAGACCCGTTGGTGGCATATTTTTTCGATATTTCACACTTTCTTTTAATTTCTTTACACAAACAACAGTAACTTTGAGCAGAATATAAATTTCTGCAATATTTAGTCCAAATCGAATATAAAGCACAAGCTAGGTACGATTTCTACCGAAAGCAACACATTAAGCGACTTAAACGCTTCGAACGCTCAAACTCGACTGATTAGTTTTCGCCGCGGCAAAACTTTTTTATTAAATCATATATACATATATATGTATGTTCATTATACATAGATCAAGAATGCGGTGAGTCTATAAGAGAGCAAAAAAGAAATCAATCACATACATATATGTACATGACGTATAATCGGGTAGCAGTGAGAAGAGGTATTTGGATCTACCATATCACCACTGTAGACGCTACTTTACATTATATAAGCGTCACCCGTTTGTTACCAATATTAGTTCGTCATTACATCCCTGTAAATAGTTTTTTCTGTCATATAACATTGGAATGCAATTTCGTAACGACCGATTCACACAAGCACTGGCCGAATGTTTGATGTATATTTATATGTATTTCCAGGTATCTTGTAAGCGAGTGCAAAAAGAACACTACAGAGTATTAAAATTTTGCTGAAGATGTTTAACCAGAGAACGTAAATGGACGTTTATTTTTACGTTCTCTGGTTTAACAATACTGACAGCAATTTAGAAAACCTGATCGTTCAGTTTATATGACAGCATTAGTGATCCGATATAAGAAATTTATTCAGAGATTGTAGGGTTGCCTTGGGCAATATTCGTAAAGATATCTCGTCGAATAAATAGTCTTCCTTAAAAGGACTTGATTTTAATTGTTCTGTTTGTATGATATATATATATATACGCTTTAGTGATCTGATCTGAAAAATTTATTCGAAAATTGTAGTGTTGCTTTAAAACTATTTTGGCCCAAATTTCGTGAAAATATCTTGTAAACTAAAAATTGTTCAATTCAACTTGATTTTGACCGTTCAGTTGTACGCTGATTACGGCGGTTGTGACAAATGAGCAGCTTTTGGGAAGGACAGGACGTACGCAAAATTTCAGATCGATATCCCAAACACTGAGGACGTAGTTCGCGTATACAGACAGACGAACATGGCTAAATCATATATACTTATAGGGCCTCCGACCTCTTTTTCTTTCCTTCTGGGGACTACAAAATTCATGGCAAACTTAATATACCATGGTCAGGGTATAATAAAGTCGAAAAGCATTGTGATAGGACTAAGAATATCGAGCGAAGTTGGTTGTAGTTGTACGAGTACGAACGAAAATTTCCATAGTAATTTTCAAGATATTTTCTACAATGGAGGTTTTTTTTTAATTTTTTAATTAACCTCCTTAAACTCATTAAATAATCACGTCGGTGTTTTTTGCTTTACGGAAATTTTCTTTTGCAGATTTTCATTATTTTGACTAGTCCAATTCTAACCACTCGAATTGCAATCAGTAAAGGACTGGTTTCTTTTGAAAAATTTGTCTTCCACTACCGGTTTTAATTGATTACCTTCGTTTGTCAGTGTTCGCACAGCTGTACTGTGGTATGAGTAGTTGAATAATCGCAATTAGTTTGAGCCGGCAAACAGCTGTGCAGTTTTTTGTTCTCATGAAAACGGCTGTACCTTTACTTACAATAATTATTTCAAATGTATGTTTTAGGGGTTGCAGAAAAGAAAAATTACTCACGCCTAAAGAAATTCCGTGCATAAGCCTTGATAATAGAGAACACGGTGCGAGAATTATGCTTCTCAAGCTGATTTAAATTCGTTTCGCACCTCGTATTGTGGTCTGTAATATACATGTATATGTATAAACAAAGGGGGAGTTTCGACCAATGTACACTGCAGGAAATTATATGATTGTATAATTATGATCTAAGTATAAATAAACCTCTTTTTAATACCGAATAAATTTATTTCAAACCTCGTATACTTTAAATGAGAGTTATGTTTTGGTTATATAATCACTTATTTGCTCACAAAAATTCGCAATTTTTTGAATAACATTTTTTTTTCAATTTTTCGAAAGCTGTTCAAAAATCAAAAATTACCTTATGCATATATATTTTTATACCCTGAACAGAGTCTATTATGTATGCCACGAAATTTGTAACACCCAGATGGAAAAGTCGGAGACCCTTTAAAGTGTGTATATAAATGATCAGCGTGATGAGCTGAGTCGATTTAGCTATACTTGTATATTCGTTCGAGCTAGTCCCTTAGTTTTGGAGATATCGATCAGAAATTTTGCACACGTTCTCCCCAAGGATCTGCTCATTTGTCGGGACCACCTATATCGGACCACTATGGCATATAGCTGCCACACAAACTGAACGATCCAAGTCGAGTTTTGATTTTGAAAACTTTTATTTGGCAAAGTACCTTCACGAAATTTGGCATGGCCGCGCCTCGGATCGAATTTTTTTTGTTCAGGCATTCTGTAGCGAATCGGAAAAATAGCTGTCATCTAATCTGACATATCAAGCTCAAGTTCAAGTTAATTTTTTTTCTTGTAGTTTTTTTTTTTTTTGCAATTTTATATATGTAGATACCTACATACATATGTACATACGTACATGTATATAAACACAATTTTTTTTTTTTTGTTCAATGTAAATTTTTTTCTTCGCATCCTTTACGTCTTTGCTGATTGCAATCAAAGGTACGTATGTGTATGCCTGAATATTGTTTAATGAAATTATTAGTCACCAACTGGTTTAATTTTGATATTCCGCAAGAAAACCAGTTAATTTGCGATATAGAATTTTAATATTTCTTCTAAAAAGAGGCCAAATATACATATATATGTACATAAACCACACATTCATATACATATGTAATATGTACTCAATATTTGTATTTTGTCGCAATCAAGCCTCTTTGAGTCTGTCAATTCAACCGCTACCGGTTTTTATCTTAATGGAGAGACACATTTAATAGGTAACAGAAGTGGAGTGTTAATTTTAATTTGTTTCCATTTTATTTGGCTTCTAAAATCATACTCTACATTTTGAAAAACTAATCATTTAATTGAACGCAGCTTGAATATACCACATCATAGTCCGAAGGTTTAAAATACTGAACTTTGCGCTCATATTTGTTCAAGAAGACGGACTGGTAGAACATTGGCGCCAAGTTTAAATGGAATAGAGTACAATTTTTTAGCTAAGTTTACTTGAAAAAAACAATTGGAACATATATTGCAAACATTATTTTCCAATATACCATTAGAAGTCTGTTCAGGGTCAGGTTTTTTTTTCATTTATTTTAGCGCTCTAAAATCATTTTTTTAAAAAATACAATAAAAATTTGTTCAAAACATTAACTGTTATGTTTCATTTTTGAGCTTCAATGTATCTATAATTTAAATAATAAATTATAAAATCTTTCTTAGAGGGTATACTAGATAAAAATAACCTTATTTAATTTCAAAAGTACATAATCTCTCGCTCTCCGCTTTTTATAAGCAGGTAACACGAAACCTGTGAATATCAAACAGAGGGGCTCGACTCTGCTAACTACTTACATATATACTTATACATATACCTATAATTGGTGTGTGTGTGAAAAAATTTTTTAGATTACATATGTAAGTATATTTACGAATGAAGGCTAAAAATTCAACAAATTCACTTATTGGAATTGTCTTAAATAAACACATATATATCGCATTCTGCACGTTTTCCCTCTTTTATACAGATATATACGGTATATATATATATATACACATATGTATATGTATATAAATATATATGTATATGTATAGCTCTGTATGGCATTATAAATTATTTGTACCTTCCGATGCTCATTCATAATTTTTACTGCTGACTGTTAAAATATATGAGTCAGCTCTTTCGACGCACTTGAAGAGTGGATAAAATAAAATGCCGAAGAAATGTTTGTATAATGCATTGTTTTTGTTTTTCTGCTTCGTTTATCATTTATTGTAAGCTGAAGTATAAACCTTGTCGTACAACCCGTAAACTACTTTACAACTAGTTGAACCAAAGTTACAACTTAACAATCAACTGTATTTTTCTCATACAAACAATTGGTGTTTTTACTTGCTGTTGTTTTACGAAATTTCGCCTGTCAGATTTCGATCAGCGATATATTAGCCAGCCTCACATACCGTCGTCCATTAGAGATACTTACATCAGTTTCATACTAGTTTAAAATAGATAAATCTATACATATATATGAAGTGTTAAATCAAAACCGCGTAAATATATTGTATATATTGTAGTAGAAATCGATTATCACTCTCTCCTTGTCTCTCAGTTTTTGTAATCTGAGAAGAAATTGGACTATTTATTGTTTGCAGAGTGAATTAAGTTAGGGATCGATTTTAATTATTGTTGATAAGGTTTATAAGTTAACCAAAGGAACATATATGTGTGCTTTTAGAAAAAATGCGCTAACAAAAAATCATAAATTTCTACTTCAGATGTTAGACCAGTCTAGCATATCCAAATTTAGTAATTCCTTGGTTCAAAGACACTTTAGGGTCTTAAAAATATCATTATAACAGGGTATGTAAAGTCGTTTTAGCGATGTCCTTCCATCTATATATATACGCTAATTAGTCAATTAGTTTTCGAGATATCGATCTGATATTTTGCATTTGTTCTTTCCTCCCCAAGAAGCTGCTTACTTGTCGGAATCGCCTATATCGTATACTATATCATATAGTTGCCATACAAACTGAACGATCCAAATCAAGCTCTTTCAAAATATGGCATCGATTGTTATACAAGGCAACACTACAATATCCAAACATATTGTTCAGATCAGATCACTTGGCATATAGCTGCCAAACAAACTGACGAGTCAAAATAATAATTAAGATTTTTTTTACTATTTTATGCTAAAAGAAATGCAGTTGTGAAGGTTGTAGACGAAGTTAACGTTTTTTCTTGTTGTAATCTAAATTTCTCATAAATAGGTACATATAATAGCTGACATTATATAATGACAGATAAAAATAGTAAATCGACTTATGCTCTTTTAATTATGAACAAAAATATATTATGAAGTAGTCAGTTATACGTAACTGACTTAACGAATGCTGCTAATACGTAATTTGATGCATTATTAAATATCAGCTCTATATAAGAATAAGCTCCTAGAACTCATTAGTCAACCTGATAAGATGAAGCTGCACGTGTCAAACAGAACTCAATAAAATGCAAGTAATATTAATTTTAAATAAGAATAAGCATTACGTTGACATATTTTTAATTTCAGTTACAAATATCAATCTGTATTCTATGCATTATGATAATTTTAATTCCTTAAACCACTATCTTATGAATGTCAATGTCTTACATAACGTCTAAAGATCGTCTTGTCTTCATACTCCACTTGAATATTGAAGAGTATGCACTTTCAGTTGGTTAACGTCATATACATATACATATGTATGCATATCTTATGTAGTGTTGAACAAACCATGCGGTTGCATGCATAAGTACATACTGCAATATATACCAATAAAATATGATTGAGTCGCACTGTTGCCTGACAAACATCCCTGATATTACAGCAAGAGACAACACTGATTAAATCAGCACGAGCCAATTTTCTTACATATCTGCAATTGTAATAGCGACGTAGTTTTTTATTAAATACAACCATTGATTGTTGCGCACAATTGCAATGCAACTACGCGACCGGAAAATATACTATTTCAAACCTTGTCAGGTTGTGGTTCATTATGCATCATAACTAGTTCGTGCGTATGCGCTGACAAATTTAACACTGCAAAGCCCAACTAAGTTTCAATTTATTTTCTTTGAACTTTATCCCTTTTTATAGAGTCGAACTAAGTAGTATGAAGTAGTAATTTCATTAGTCGTATTTAATTATAGGTATTTTTGAACCATTAGGTTCTGGTTCGAATATGACAAAATCACTCTACTTCTGAACGAGTTATTCATTTCATCAGCCTCGTTTCTCTGTAGGACACGTAAAAGTTTAGATATGTACTTATATACTTCTGTAGCACACGCTCATTGTCATTTCATTCATATAAATTAACTTGTTCACAATCTTAAATGTCCGTTGGTATGAATGTGCGAATGTATGAATGCTACTCAATTAATTTGAAAGCTTTATAATTTACTTTCAATATTCAATTATTACTGTATGCTTATTTCACTTTTTTATGAAGGAATATTCAATTACTAACTACTCAGCCGTAAGACGTATACCACAGAATATAATTAGAAACAAGTAAGGAAGAGCTAGTTTCGGGTGTAACTTTGCAACTTGCAAGAATCAAAGCCCGGGAAGCTCATTCAGGTGCTGGCAAGATTTTATGTAAATTAAAAAATGTTGTGAAAGAATTCAACCTTCGCTATTCAAAGAAATCGTAAATAAATTACAATCAAATTTGGTATCTTTATCTTAGACTTTATTTCATTGCTATATTTTAGTTCGCGTCAGTTAAAAGTTTATTAAAAACATCTCAACTATGATATATGTATGTGATATCAACGTGAAAACGTCAGTCGGAAGATGAGAATTCAATATATTAGGGATATGAGGCTTAGACCAATTTCATTCATATTCCCACACAATTTTTAAGAAAATTGTTCATTCAGTTTTATTAAAGTATCACACATTTTGTCAGGTTGAAAGTCGAAAAGTATTATACTATATTGGGTACAGAGAAAGGGATGGGCTAATTGAATTAATTTTGACATTGCTGAGGTATACTTGAGATCATACTTTCAAACAATTTTATAAATATATAATACACACATTGAACGACATTTTCGGCATAAGGTTTGTTAAAATAACGAAAATCAATATATGTAGTTTTTGGGAGTTAGAATAAGTCGTAGACTAAATTCACATATTTTCGGCATTAAACTATTGTATATCCAATATTATACGTTGAACTATAGTATATCGAGTATTAATCAGTTAATTTTGCTAAGGTATCTTACATATTGACTGATATATATGGCACAAGGCCAACCGGAAGTTTTGAAATCTTATGTTAGGTATATGAGAGATAGGATAAAATGCTTCCGGAGTTTCATTAAAGTACCTCACATACCGTCGCTCGTATATGGAGTAAAATCAACAGGATTTTTGAAAATTCTTCGATTAGTGCCACGGCGGCTAGGGTAAGTTTTCACCCACCAGTGACCCGATTACGCCCATCTACGAACTCGTCCTTACATGTGTAACAAGTATATATATGTGTATGTATGTATGTATTAAAATATTTATTAACTCTACTAAGTAACGATACGTCGAAATGACGTACTCATATTTGTTTACGCTCTCAGACTTTCGTTTGCGTTCGAAACAACTTCAAAAGCGCACTTTGCTCAGTCGTAAAAGCGTTATCTTTCTAGGGTTAATACATATTTGAATACAACATATTTGATGTTCGACAATGAAAGTTCATCAAGCAATATTTGTCCTATTTCCCAATTTAATTTATTCATAAAGTCATTCAACACAGCTGCGGATAAAGATATAAAGTACAAAATGAAGAGGAATCAATTAAAATATGCAAATGAAAAAAACGTTAGTGTCCTCATCGCGCACCGCAAAATTTTCCAAGTAAAGCACATAATCCATAAGTGTGGTATGATATTTACATATGCAAAGCCATATAGGTCCTATCTTCATGCATATATGTATGTATGTATAAATATTTGAGATTGCTCTTGCTTTTGCTTGTCATTTCCATCGAAAGGCATTTTTGTTACATTCAGCGGATATAAAATCATGTGACTTTTGAAGGTTTATCGCAAAAAGGCAGAAATATACAACAAATATATATATGCGTACATAAGAACCAATATGTATATGCACTACACTAAATCAGAATTCCCCTTTTTCCTACAGATGCTTAATGGACCGTAAAATTTAAAATAAATTTAATGTTTACAAATGTAATGTAATCAATCTAAAGACTTCTAAAGAAATATACATATAAATATTATGAATACAATAAATATATACACATATACATATATATACATACTTCTATATAAACAAGACTGCACCGAAGCTAGAATACCATTCAAAAATTAAAACGTTTTCTATACAATAACTTGATTTTGATCATTCAGTTTTTATAGCTGCTATATGCTATAGTAGTTCGATTTTTCGAAATTGTTGCGTTGCTTTGGACAATAATTTTTCCCAAATTTCGTGAAGATATCTTGTCAAATAAAAAAGCTATAGCTCGTCGCGCTGATCATTTACTTATGTGTATACATTTTATAGGGTATCCGATGTTTACTTCTTGGTGTGGCAAACTTCGTGACAAACTTAACACACCCTGTTCAGGATATAAAAATGTACATATATAAAAGGTTGTGGGTTTGATTCTGTACAGGGGGCTATAGAATTTCCTTGAGGCATATATGTAAAAACTGCAATTAAACTGAAAATATGTGTTTCACATTTACCCTCAGTAAATTTTGGAAAATTACCATATAAAGACATACACAGGAGCAATGTGCGTTGAAATGACGTGATTTGATTTGGGACAAAGTAGTGGAAAATGAGATCAACACGATCGTCTTCGTTATTTTCTGAATATTAAACTCCATTTTCCATTTTTCAGTTGAATTTAAATACTAAATACTATGTACTATTCAACCTAATAAAGCTAATTTATTGATCAATTTAATATTTTCTTATTTTACAAACCTTTATACCTCTTAAAAGCTATCCTACTTGTATATAATTGATCTCACTGTCTATAAAGACCCATGTTGGTATTTCGAAGCACATACAATTTCTACCGCAAAGAAAACCAAGAAGTAATGACCATAATAAAATCATCTAAAATCAAATCATACTTTTTTCTTTTATCTTAGTGCCTCACCCTGTACATGCATACGTAAATCTACTCTGATGACATTTCCATATTTGTTGTTCTGCTGAATTCTGCAGAATATCTCAAACACTCAGCATATAGTAATGAAGTAAGCACCTCCATTGGTACAATTTGCTGACATTAATTGCACTAATTAAAATAAACTTTATTCGCATTTATACTCAGAACCATATACCATACAAAAGCTTTTATGTTTCAATGAATTTAAAAGAAGATATAAAAAATTAAAAGACAAGCAAAAGAGAGAGTAATTAGATAGTAATTATAAGACTCTTCATTAAATGTCGATTGATGTTTTCTTTTATTGAGTGAAGAGCTTTTACGCAATGTTGTTATACTACCTTTATGGGTACAGGGGGAAAACATATCAAATATAATGAATAAAAGATAATACGAGTAGAGAAAAATGAAAGCTACTTATAAACTTAATAGTTTTTAGTCCTAAATCTTGTAAACTTGGGCGCGAGTATCAATCTAAGAAAGCTTTGATTTGGAGATATGTCAAAATAGAGATGGTAGAATGGATAGGTGACCTATATGAATCCGTAGTATTAAAAATATAAGGCATTTAAGTATACTATTCTATATATTTTGTCGACTAAGAACAGAGTTGTCACCTCTTAAATATGTACAAAATTTAAAGTATTTAAAAAATCTTTTCTGAAACTCATGAATAAGTCTTCACTTTAGATATATTTTGAAATAAAGTTGCCACCAACCCAATAAACAATATTCATAAATTAAAATATTTTTTGAAGATTGTTAAGATCTTTAGAAAACATTACAAATGTGTACTAAATGTAAGGTCTTTAAAAAATCCTTCCAGAAACTCTTTTAGAAGTCTTTAATTTAGACATATTTTCAAATATAGTTGCCACCCACCGATGAAAAAATTCACTAACGGCATTAAGTAAGTCTTTTGGAAAGCTTATGATAAAAAAAAATTTTAATTAATTAAAAAAATTATTTTAATATTGTTGCCAACTATAGAAAATATTGCAAAATGTGCCAAATTTGAGGCGCAACAAATTTTTTCAGAAACTCATGTAGAAGTCTTCAGTTTAGATATATTATGAAATAGAGCCACCTACCGATGAAACAACTGAAAATACATTTAATCAAGTAGTCTGACAAGCTTTTAATTATAATTTTCATTAAGAAATTGAATATTGTTGCCACTTTTAGATAAAATTACTTAATGTGTACTAAATGTAAGGCGCAAAATATCTTTCCAGAAACTCATGAGGAAGTCTTCGGTTTAAATATATTTTGAAATAGTGCTGCCAACCGATTAAAAACCTGACTTAAGCAAGTCTCCTGGCTAGTTTTTGGGAGATACATATATTTAGATATTATTAAGAAAACTTAATTTTTATTTTAATTATAAATTAATTACAAACCAGTAAACAAATTTAATTTTTAAGTATTAAGTATATGAAGGGCATTTTACAGAAAATTTTAATGTAACTGCCTATATTTTCTACATAACCGTCCTATACACTTTTATCCAGGCAAAATATTTTAATAATTTTGTATACTGAACGTTTCTGGTGATATAAAGTATTAAATTTCAATGTGTACAGCCTCTGTGTGCATCTCACCTTAGCAGGTCAATATTTGCCTTTTCATAAAAAGGCCGGAGCATGTGCACACCTGCATTCATAAACCACATATACATATATATGTGTATGAATGTATAAAACACTTACTTATATATTATGTATTATACAGCAAGATGCACATAACCCATATGTTATCAAGTAAGGCAGCTACAAACATAAGCAAGTGTATGTAAAGGGTATTAAAAGTATGAGTAGAAAATTGCGTAAATAGATATCGACGCAAGAACATATACCTACATACACACAACCACTTATTTAGAACTCTTCAATAGAAATAGATGCATGTATTCATTTGCTAAACAGGGCCGGCACAATATAATATAATAATAAAATTTGTTTCCAAAATGAAATAAAAACCAGTTATAAAGAAAGCGCCAATTTTAAGAACAGCCAAGCATTATGCATTCTACCAATTCATAGAAAGTTAAGACATTGAGCTACATACATATATGTTAAGAAAAAAATCTGTCCACAGATCCCATCAGTTTATACCATGAAACCACATTATGTCTAAAATAATTTGTTCGCTTAATGTTAACAAAATATCTCACTCATTAAAGGGCATAAAACTCAATTAGAAAAAATCATTACCTTAGGTATATGAAGACTAGAGTAATGTCTCAGCGTTATTAAAACGGTAAGTATACAATACCTAGGCGAAATATTGATGCGATTGTTTGACAGAAGGGCCCATTTTTATCGGGAAAATATTCTCTCTGAATTGTAGTAATTTATCTCAATTGAACGATATTTTCGGTAAAACGTTAACCATAATCTCTGGGCTCCACATTCTGAGTGCTTGAAAAGGTATAGTCCGATTTTTCCTTTAATGCACTATTTGGTCAAAGTTGGAAAGTAGGCGTCTATGTAGTTCGATTTCGATAATTTTCAAACGATGTCAGAGAAATATTATGTACGAATGTTTTCATTAAGTCTGGTTGATATAGCACAAGTAGTTTGAAAGTTTTATATATTTCTGAAGAATTTTATTTTTGAATCTTAGAAATTGGTTGGTCCACCCAGGGCACCAATCACTGCTTGTAGACGTCGGGGCGTTGAAATCACCAAGTTTCAGTTACATCGGGAGAAATTTTGGCCTAAGCTCGGATAGGGGCAATTTTGAGAGTTTCACGTCTGCTAATGTCATATTGGTGTATTTTTTTTCTAGAACGTCCCAAATATATTCAATCAAATATATATCTGTTGACTATGGTGGGCATTATAGTATTTGGTTTTTTTCAACTTTAGATCGGCTATCACTTCTAAAAATATTTTACTTACTTTCGTCGGTAAAAGCATCCGCTTCTAAAATTCTACCCCTTTTATAATTTTCGTAACAGTTTTGCCAAAATCGCAAAATCGAAAGGTGTGTTTAGACTTTTTTCCTTGATAGTATATAATAAATAAATATGTATAAAAATGAATGGCTGTAGGGGCGAGGACCGCTTTAAACAAAGTTAAACCCCAGACACCTTCCTTACTGAGATTATTTGTACCAAAAGCAAGTTTGGTATCTTAAATAAGTTAAATTATTTCATCTCGTCATCTTTCTAATTTTGATATAATTATATATACATATATTATCTAAATCTTAATTTAAAGTCTTATAAACAACTATTAGGTGTACAAAACTGTTATACTGTAGGCTAAATGTTGCGAGTGAGAACGGTTTGGAAGTGTTAATCTAAAATTTTGACTTTTTACTTCTCGCATGTATTGTACCTCTTCATGAATTTTCTATTTTAGCTGCTTATTCAATATATTTTGAGTGTCAAACATTTAATTTGCAGTAGTATTCGAGTTTTTTGAATTATTGTAAATTTTTTTTATCATTTATTTTATTCTCAATTATTAAAAAATACGATTACATTTTTGGTTAAAAAGCTCTCATGTCCACATTTTCTTTCCACACACTGTACATGCATTGCAAAGCGTATTATTTTACGCTTGCTTCTCTTGTAGCACGGCTAACTGGAACTGGAAATTATATTAGGAAAAGCCGTGAACAGAGGATCAAATGTGCAAGTATTAGCTCATATGTACATACGAGCACATACTATGTATGTGTGTATATATGTATGTACACATAGAGTGTGAGCTTTTGTTTTCTGCTTTCGATTGGAACTCAATTTAAAAATTGACTGAGTACTTGACAGGTTCACAAGCTGTTAGACATTCCTATTGTCTGTGCCAAACAAACACAAAAGAAATACGTATGCCAACATGAATATATTTACCAGGATGTGTCTGAGACTACTTGTGTAGTGGGTAAATGTTGCTGCACCCAGGCTGCGCTTCTTCGATAATATTACCACAATTACTCGGGCGAAAGCATTGATGAGCGAAATCAACGATCTATGAAGGTTAGTCTATGTGAAGGACATTTATAGGCGACGCAATGTCGTCCTACGATGTGCGCGCCTAAGTATATGCTATTCAATTTAATACATTACGCTGTGCAGGTTATGTGTTGCCACCTGTAGCGTAATTTTTATTATTTGCTCTTTATTTTTCTTTATTTCCAATTCAATTGCGCACTTTTTCCAGTATCTGATTACAATGTATTATTGGGTAGGGTGGTTTATTTGGCTGGAAAATTGATTCTTAAATGTTTACTTTTAGGTATTTTTATATTTATTGGTATCGAAAGCTACTTGCCTGATTTAAACCTCAATTTGAATGTCGTCAAAAAAGATATTTAAACAACATCTAGCAGAAATAGTATTGACAACTCCGATTGTAAAACTTTTGAAATCATAGTTACTCGCTTTTTAAGTTAGAATATTTTCCAAAAATAAAACAATGATCAAAAATAATTATTACCTTTTTGTGTCTAACTAAAACATAAGGAATTTAAAGTAGAACTCTGAGATGTTGCTACAAAATGTATCTCTAGAAAATTAAGAAATTAATTAAGAAAAAAGAGTATTTAATTTAATAAATAAAAATAATGTACATTTACAGAATTGAATGTACTTTATGTTAATAAGCGGTGATTCGTTTTGGAAAATTTTGGAAAGGTCGTAAAAAATTCTCATCAAAATCTTATTCTTTCTGGCATACATATATAAACGTCTTGTGAAAATTTTCAGACAGATTATACGGTACGAAGCCAGTCTGAGCAAGTAAATACCTAAATATTCTTAACACAAAGTTAACTTAAACTTAAAAAGTTAAGTTAAAGCTTAATGCATATCTAAGTGCTTGAAAAAGTATAGTCCGATTTCGACATTTTGGTGTATATATACGGTATACAGCCAATCTAATCAAGTAAAATCCTCAATGTTCTTATCATGAATTCTAGGTAATATGTTAAAAAAAAAGTTGACAATTTTTATATGATTTGATGAGAAGAAAGCTTTCGTAAGCATGTGTTCTAGTTTTGATCATTTTGTCCCTGGATGCCCTTTTTTTACATATCTTTTAGTAGTTTTAAACTATTTTTGATCGAGTTTTCCACTATACCGAACAAATTATAAATTTTTGCTACAGTTCTAAATTAAACTATTATAAAAATTGATTTATTATAATTCTGAATGTCAATGGAAACTATACATATATCGTACTATATAATAGCATAGTATAGCATAGAAACAGAAATAAAGTTCAAACCGGCAAAACATATGGGCATGGCTTAAAAAAAACTCTTATGCATGATTACACACACTTTTATAAATAATTTTAAGCACAAGCTGAGCCATAGTGGCGCTACATTTTTTCTATAAATAATAAATTCTTTGTTTAAGCAGTTAGTAACTAGCAATTATTGTGAACTTGTTTCTGGCATAACTTAAAACTAAAAATAATTATAACATGTAACATATAATTAAATTCAATAATCCATTACCTGTTTCCGCAGCATATTTGTAATTAGTTATTGACGTATGTATGTATGTTTGTGATTAAAGTATGCAGATATGCACATATGCTATGTATAATATTAAAAAGTTTCATAGTAGTAATAAAAATTTCATTCACAAAGTCGTAACCCTATCACAAAATAATTTTGATCTTGCACATGCCAATTTGACTACAAAAAAAATTCGTATAGCTGTGTTTTAGTAAATATAATATCTGTTACACTTAATATGAACTCACTCATCGATCTCCTCCTCGGAAATAGAGTGACTGTTGCCGCCGAAAAGGGACATCTTGTGTTTTATCGGCAAATCCTCGAACTTAAATATTTCTGTAATTAAATTAAAAATGAAGAGTTAAAAATATTTTTTACTTTCATAATTAGCTGAAAACTTTTAAATAATAGACAAACAAAGGAATGACTTAATTTACTTTTATTTAATTGTTCATTGTTTAGTAAAATGACACCAGTTTAAGTTATTTGATGAATTAAATCAACTTAAATAGTATATGGTGTATGTAACTAGAAATCGATTTTCTGAAATTTCCCTACTTTAGGGAGATTCGAGTTTAAATTACGTGTGAGAGGGGCTGCCATCTCTTTAAAAAACAATTAACATATAAATGACACATTACAATATGGACATCAAATAAAACGAGATTTAAAAGACGTAAACCAGAATATAATTTCAAGCGTTGTCATCCGATAGTTTGTATAATGTTAGTAACAATATAAAATAACAAATGTATTATACTCACTAACCCCGAGCTACAGACCTTGTATAAGCACCCCGATATTGTAACAACAAAAAAATTAAACAGGCTACGGGGGTCATATTATTTGCGCCAATGAAAAATATCCTCCTCAAAAAATTCTTCTGAGCAGATGCAGAAATAATAGGAGCAGAGGCAGACCAAAACTTAGATGGATTGACGGTGTGAACCAGGACGCTGAAGCGCTGAAATTACGAAGATGGCAAACTCAAGCAAGGGACAAAAAAATTGCAGAACTAAATTACAGCAAGCGAAGCCCGCACCGGGTTGTGGAGCTAATGCTGATGATAATGACTGTACTACACTAAGCGCATCAAAATAGATCGAAAAAATATACTTAAAAAGAATTGCGACCGCTAAAAAACTTATACAAAAAGTCCAATATTTAAATATTTGAATAAACTAAATAATGTTTGAGAAATTTGTGATGTATGTACATATAATTATATCGAAACGGATTCGGAGTTTTTGTCTCTTACTTCAATTACAAGCCAATCATATAATTTCCACAATATTGTGATGAAAAATATTTATTTTTAATGTCTAAAATTTTTTTAACTGTTTTTAGCTGTTTTATTTTGTTCGAAATATTCCTAAAAACACTTAAGCTTGTCATAGCTACTCATAATCCATATTTACATATTGGCAATTAAATAAATTGATTATATCCAATTGAGCTATACATTTTATGCATGTGTTGATAAATATTCTGTGAGTTTGTAAGTACAACATATATTCAAACATTAATATTTCATTTATCACAGCTGCTCGCACCACATGCCATGAACATTAAATAGCCATTTACTGAAATTGGCAGCGCTACGTTGAGGTAATTGGGGCAATTAAAAAAGTACTATTATTGCCTATAAACAATCGAATATAAGATGGGTATATTAACCCAGTGCTCAGTAATATTTCGTATTGAAAAGAAAGTATTAACATGTTTTATTTAAATTGAAAGGAGAATATTTCTTCCATTTGAGCTTAATGCATAAAAATTGAGCAAAAGCAAATGTTCGAGTTTTTAAAAATCCTAGACTGGCTTCACCCCTAAATATTAACATACTATATAAATAAGGATACATAC